TAATATGTAAGTACGTAGTAAGGTTTCTCAAAAGTTTCGGGAGCTATAAGTTCCAAACGAGTGAAGTAAAGGGTAATAAAAATTGCATTTTAGAGGGTTTAAAACTTTCATACACTGGGGAGTGTACAGCCCGGCAGTCCCCCTCTGGGTGTGCCACTGCTAAACATTGTATTAAACATGTTGCTTTCTCATTTGGTAGTAATAACTAAGATATAGGGTTTTGGTTTTGGGAATGTGTTTTTTTAATTACCTTTAAAATAAGGTGAAACTTGGCCCCCTACAAAAATTCTCCAGGGTAAGAAAGTTTTAAACTATCTAAAAATGTAGTTTTTATGGCCCCTTATTGATTCCAACATTTTGAAATTTTTCTTCACTTTTTGAAGAACTCCGTCCCGGACGTTTTCTGGTATACTTATAAAAAAGGGAAATTTGTAGGATATTTTTTAAAAAAAAGTGGTTTCGGAAAATTGAAAATGCGCCAGAAATTTAAAATGTTTAAAAAATGTCCAAAGTCTTGAAGCAAGGTTTTTCAATAGTCTCGAAAATGTTTAGGAATTTTTGGAAATGTTTCGGAAATACTTAATACGGATCATGTTTTTGATGTCTCCAATGTTTCGGTAATATCAGAAATGTTTCGGAAGTGTAAAAATTGTCCAATATCTTGAAAATGCGGACGATGTTCTGAAAGTGTCAGATGTTTTAGAAATGTTGGAAATTTCGAATGTTTTAAAAAGTTTCTAAACTGTAAGCAATATTGGAAACGCCGACATATGTATATCGAAAGTTTCGAAAATGACCAATATTTTGAAAATCTAGGACAGAAGCTTTGGGATTGAATGTTTTAGAAACGTTGGAAATGCATAAATAATTTTGTAAATATCAAAAATTTTTCGGTAGCGCCGAGAATGTTTTAAAAATATTGGACATGTGTGACAAATTTTGGAAATGTTTCGAAAGTGCCGAATGTTTTGAAAATTGTCATAAATGTCAAAAACTAGGTCATAGCTGTTTTGTAAACATTGTAAATGTTGCACGTTTCGGAAATGTCGAATATTTTTGAAAATGGAAATCTTTTGGAAATTTCGGAAACATCGAAAATGCTTCGGCGGCGCCGAAACGCAATATGTAAGATTGTAAGATAATCGATTATCAGACAAAGAATACTTGTAAAATTAATTATATTTACATTGTAATCAAGTAGATTTGGTTAATTTAATAATTAATCGTATAATGGTCAATAATTTTGCTATCTGTTATCATTAAAAAGCGAATTAAAATCTCATGTCAAAGTTCAATATCATGTCTTTAGTCCATAGGGGAGATGCAATTTATATATGTCGGTAATCGGCACCTTGAATTGTATTTCGACATTTTTTAATTCTATCGAAATGAGAAACTTTCTTTAATATTAAACTTGTTGCCATAGTTTTATATAATAAGAGAGTTTGTTTTGAAGTTTTTAGTTTTTTTATAACTTGTAATCGAAGTGATATTAAACCAATCAAAGAAAAACAAACATAAAACTTTCCCCATACTGGGTAACAAGCCACTCAACCATGTTTAACAATTTTTGCATTGGGGAAAAAAATGACCCCCCCCCCACTATTGATGGAAATACACGTTTTGAAGCACCAGGAATCCGAATCAAACAAAATTTCGATGATGTCGGTCTGTCTGTCTGTACTCTCATTTCCGGCTAAACGGTAGAACCGATGTTGTCAATTTATTTACCGAAGGAGTACATTTTCCAATAACGCCTAAAAATGATATTTTTTGAAATTTTAACTAAAAATGCTTCTAGCAAAGAACAGCTCACATGGGCATTGAATAACGCCTTAATTTTTCCCTTTTTTTGAAGTACCGATCAATGCATGGAAAATGCGCTAAAGTTAGGCGAAGTTACTAGTTAAAATCTTTGTACTTCTTTGTTAGTGATGTGCCATATCTGTTTCCGCCTATCGATAAGTATCGGACACTTATTACCTATCGACGTATTTTACTTATCGGTATGGCGTAATGGCGATAGCTATCAGTAAATCGATAGTTACGACACCTTATTTTTTAAACACTCAAATTTTGTTGCTAGTTCCAATTGTGCCCACTATAGTTCTAGATGGAAACAATATCAGGTCCGGTTCACATATACGCCCAAAACTTAATTTGTTTAAGAAATGGCGTATACGCCCCTATGACTTAATGCTCTCGAATCAGGACCGTAGCCAGATTAATTTATTAAGAACGGGCCAATAAATCTACAGAGCAGGCGGGCGAAATAAAATGATGATAATAATCTATGCATATCATATATGCCCCCAACCCCTGGGTTAACAGGGAAACACACAATATACCTTCCTCTTTTAATAACAAACTATTAAACTCCGTCTTTCATCCTAACCACTTTCTTGATTAATAGTTGACGTTCTTTTGTTAATTTTTTAAAGAAATCCAAAGGTTAAAAAGATCAAATCAGCCATTCCTGTATGAGAGATCATCGAAGACCTTTGTAGCTTTTTGATTCGCGTCATTATTGAAAATGAAGATCATTCACAGCAGTCGAACAACCAAACACTGCAACTGTTGCATATAGCTCGTACGTTTTTTTAAAAAGTTTTTTTTTACCATATAACATTTTGATATAAACTGGATGTTGAAAACGAAAGTATACGGGGTCAGGTAAAGGAATAATCGCACCTCGCACTTCATCTTTTCATTCAATTAAAAAAAGATTAGAAAGAAGTTTTTAAAGAAATTATTTGAACCTTTTTCAATCTGTACACTTTTTTTTTAATTTTTTTGAACATTTGCAATTTTTTTGAATCATTTGAATATTTTTTTTAATATCCTAGTGTGCTATAGTTTTCAAAAGAGAATTTAATATGCTGGCATTTTTAATTGCGACTCCGTATACTTATTTTGAAAACGGTAGATTATGCAACAATCATTTTTAATAAACACATTTCGATACAAACAAAGAAATTATAGGCTTTTATTTAAAAATGGAAAAATGCATCTTTTGTCTATAACTAAAAACAAATAACTGTAGGCTAGTTTGGTTTTTTTCATCGAGTTTATATCAGAATATATATACATCGAGACTGCAATGTCAATTTTTTTCTATTACTTATCGTTTTAGGGTTACCCATATAAACAACCAAATTTGGCCACCCTGTACAGAGAAAATAATTTATACACAATCGTGAATGTAGTCCAATTTTAATATTTGACATAATTCCCAATGCACCTTTCTTTATATCTGATCATTTAACACCATGCAATATTGCGTCATATTAAGCAATGTTTAAGAGCGGGCAAAGTGAGCTCCAAGAGCGAACTAAGTATGGTCTTGCCCCCCTCTGGCTACGGCCCTGCCTCGAATACAACGGTAAACCCGTAAAATATAACATACTATTCTCCATTTTCAATATTCCCTTCGATTTGGGACATTCTGTATAACTTTTCTCTTAAAATTAAAAAAATTGCTTTGCTTAATAGTATATTAAGTAACAAGGGATTAAAAAGAGTTTTTGCTCCTGAAAGAATAGCTTAATACCGATTCCAATACCGACCGATCTGAATCAATTTCGAAATTAATATGCTTTTTATTATTAAAAAAACTGTGAAAAAGTAAGGTAGGCTATTTACGGTTTTATAGTTGCGCTCCCTTGTTTATAACTGTCAACAAAAATTAAAAATTTTCCATTTTCATAAAATCATAGATACCTGTAAACCCTTTTAAAAATATGGAAGAAGAAAGTGACGAAGCATATGAAGCCACCTCTTTCATCCCCTAAGATATCACTTACTTGCTGATAAAGGTTTGTTTGTTTAAAACATTGAATGCTAATGTTTATTGCTTGTAGATTGTGGCAATTGCAGGAGGAATTGTTAAAAATGAACGCAATTAGTATTTGGCATTATATAAGAAGAGATGGATGTACTTTTTAGGGCCCTTTATAGATTGTGCTTTTAATATTACCAATTACCTATATTCTGAAAATAAAGAAATTTCGGAATTCTGAATATTTTACAAGAAAACAAAGGGATTAAAAATTTTTTTAATCCCTAGGGATTAAAATTATCTGTTAATGCACAAAAATTAGGGATTAAATTTAATAAAAACGTGTCGGTATTGGAAAAAAATTGTTATTTGGATTCAAAGGAATATTAGGTATAGGGTTACCTAAATAGGTATCTAGATTTGTGTTACTTTGGAAACCAAGAACAATGAGCGTTACAATAAAAAAAAAACAACAAAAAAGTAAACAAAAAACCCATTGTAGGTAGTTGTATGGTTTTTAAATCTTAATTGAAGGGCGTGTAGCTCCTTCCTGTTCGTGTACGGATGTGACGTCCGCACTTTATTGGAAATACATATGATTAGATCAGGAGGGTAATTTCTGCTTATGAAAAATTCGTTTTACGATTAAAATTTTTCGCATATCAATTACTCATAGTTGACGCATTATTTTTAATTACGAAATCCATTGTTCAAAACCTTCAAGGGTGTATGTACTATGTATCTATACACAATTCAAGATCAGATCAAAGTCCCTACTGCGTGACGAAATAAATGATTGTTTACTTAGATATTTTTCTGTGAAATCCCGATTTCGCATTGTTACCTAATCGTGTTAAGTAAGTAATTGGAAATTTGCTTGATTTTTAGGTACCCCCCGAATTCAAGGCTACGCGGAAGGGTAAGATGATGGACTTTCTACTGTTCGACGTGTTTAAGTTGTGTAAAGCGAAACATTCTAAAAGTGCCGAAAAGTGGACTGATTCTAAGAAAAATAAGTGCTGGTTTAATTAAACATTTCGTATCCGTTCTCGTTGTGTATACGTCATAAAGGACAAGCTTAAGTGGGGGACGGAAACCCTATAAATAGTGACCGTACATTTGAAGTGAAACCAATTCAAGTTTGATAGTGGTAGTGCGTTCGAATCTTAAATAAAAAGAGGAGCGACGAGTTTTTTCGTTTTTATTTGCCCTTTTTCGTTGTATGGGTAAGTCGTTGCATTCATTTGTTTTCTTTTCGTTAATTTGTCAAGGCGACTTTGTTTTATTGATTTAACAAAAGACAATCGTGGCGTGGACAGCTGATGTTTGTATTGTTGCGTGGCATTTCCGCGTGACGTCACCGAACTTACGGGTGATATCACAAAAGTGTACTGTCGCGCCACGACAAAAGATTGCGCTAGATTTACGATTTTAATTTTACAGATCGTGAAAAATTCCAAATACCCTCGTTACTGTGTACAGCTGACCAAAATGGAGCTGTACATGGGATCAAACCTTGCGAGAACAGCGCCTCATCGAAGACCGCTCTGTGCAGCGAGCTGGACAACACCGACAAGGCATACTTACCAACGGTCGGTCGCTGGGGCTGCGAGTGGCCAAGTTGACTCGAAAACGAACATGATTGGGTCTCAGAAACCTCCTTCCTAGGGGGAAGCAAATCCGGTGAGTCCGGAAAATGCGTTCATCACGAGACGTGCTACTGTAACGAGACCTTCTTGATAAACCATCTCGGTGAAAATGGCGTCGTATTTAACAACAACAACACCCTCTCCCTACTCGACGAGTTGCTAGACGCGACTCAAGTGAACGGACCATGGCTAGTGGAGCATCCTCTACCTCTCCCGATCTGGGCGACGGATCCGAAACAGATCCTCAAGTTCGAATCGGTATGGCACTACGAGAAATTTGTGTCCCAGCTCGAGGTGCACATCCAGCAGGTTTTGGAACGACACAATTACAACACCATCGGTAATTTTATGGCGCTATACCAGAGTTTTAAAGGAAGTGGATGTTACAATCTTCGTGATTACCTTCACATGTAAGTTACTTGATCCGCAAGGAGGTTTAACAGTGTCATGTCATGTGCCATCTGTTGACTGGTTTTAGTTAACAGAGGAACAAAATTACAGTTTTCTGGACATTAGACCTATATGCGTCCCTATTTTTTATAAAAAAAAAAAAACAGATTGCGCTATTTTTGACATTTTTACTAGCAGGAGTGATTAGCTCACTTAATTTTACATTTTTTTCATTGTTTCTTATTATCTGTTTCATTTGGAATTTGCTATGTGACACTGTCAAATTAATGGAGAGCGGCAACACCGCATGAAAAAGGGGCGGAGTTATATTTTGGCGGACAGCTCTTTTCTCCACTCTTTATTCATTATCAAATTTAAAGTATTCAATTGAAATGTGGATTATTTTCCTGAGTTTTTAGATTATGTCTTAAATCTGCATTATGGGTGGCACAATGAAGGAGGTAAGTTGTAAATATTTAAACAAACTAGAATTCTATAGTCAGTCTCACCTTGACTTACAATCTCACAGCACAGACTCTTATGGTCCACAATTATGACATTAGACTATGATTTGAAGAAAATTGGCGTATTTGTAGTCTGTATAAATCAGAATCGCCGCGCTAAAAATTCCTATGAGCCATATGAGGATTTATTTATTTATTAGATTTATGAGGTCTGTACATTCTAAATAAATAACAGTCCGCCATCTTGAAAAACTTTTGGGAATCAAACAATTTCAGATCGGAACACTCTGTGTCATATTATACAACAACAACACATTTGAATGATAGCTAAAGTGTCGTCATCCTTACAGGTACTCCCCACCAATCACCTCACTCCATCACACTTGCGTAGGCCTCGCTTTGGAATTGTGGACCAAACTTGTAGAACTCAACGAGAAATATCCCTCCCTTAGCAACTACCTTTACCTAGCGTCTTGCGAAGAAAATATCGAAACCGTCGACGACTACGTCCAACTGGGCGACGGTCTGGAGGCGGTCTCCACCTCCCTAGAGAAAGAGCACGTCCTTCTCGCCTTGCGCTTCGAAATAGCCGGCCGCTACGGCGTTCTGCTCTGCGATCCGGGCTATCACATCAGCCGGGCGATCACCGTCATGCAAGACCAACTTTACCCGCACACCGGTCAGTTTGTCCAATCGCGCGAGGCGCACGCGCGAAAGGAGTACAACTACACCTTTTCGGCGAACTCGACGTTCGTGCAGTGGAGCGAGACTGTGACGAACGCGAACGGCGTCAAGGCGTACGACACGGCGCTCGTCTACATCTCCCGACCGTATCTAACCGCCGTGGACGTCACAGAACGTCGAAACCTCGTCTACAATTTCCGCAGTTTGCTGTCGCGCGATTCCAAGGGAGGCCTCAAGGCCGGCATTTATTTTAAACTTAAAGAGAACCACGACGAATTTACCATTTTCTACCAAAATGGGGGCGTTAAGAAGAGGTTGAAGTACAATTTCGGATCATTCGCGTATCCGGTAAGTCTTATGGTCTGTTGTGTGTACATTCTGAAAATCTTAAAAAAATATAAGAAAATGGCTGCAAAATCCGCCATGAATTAACCAAATATACCGGATTGGTGGAAACTAACCTGGTAACTAAGGTAATGAAGTCGCCTTGTTAGAAACAAGTGCCTAAAGCATTAATTTGTAACCATTGCAAAATCTACGAATTTGGTTAAACCAATCAGCTCAATGACAAATTTGGAAAAAACAAGGCGCATATGGCAACACTGTCTTTATACTATGCGATTAAAAATGAGTTACAAGTCACTTTTGGAATTTTTGTTTACATGGGAAATCGTACTGAACTTGAAGTTCCAAAGGCGACTGGACCGCCACTCATTTTTGATCGCCCGTTATTATAGTCGCTGTAATTTGACAAGCCCATTCAAAATGGCCGAACCATACTTTTTTGTAAGTTAGTAACCCTCAATAATTTCTCCTTTCCATTTGCAGATCGAAGAGACGACAAAGAAAGTGGTGAGAGAGTGCAGTCTCCAATTGAATTTGGCGGAAGACGCGTTGGAATGCATTTTAATATCACTCGCACAGGTACTCTCGGACCAGAGCTACATCAAGCAGCTTCTGGAAATTAATTGCGAAATTAACAATCTCGCAGAAGACAACTAGCAGATAGCAAATACAGATTTACACTTTTCCACTTTAGTTGTAGTTTTCTTTGTTTATTTGGGATTTTTGGGTTTCTGTCACATTCTGTTGAATTTCTTGTAGGTTTAGTCTTGTAATATAATTCCATCGATTGCTTATTAAAGATTTAAGTTGTCGCTTCTGATCTTCTTGTAATACGAAGAGTTTTATTTTGCGATTTTGAAAATGCTGATTCTACTCTTCTAAAACGATGAATTGAATTCTTGAATATAATTAACAAAGGTTATAATCATATTCTCTAGCATACGTTTCAAAGTTCGTTATTGCAGCATGCTCCTATTTAATCCGTTTACATTTATAAGCTGTACTGTGCTATAAGCTGGAAATAAATGAGAATGCTTACGTTTTGCTTTTTTAGAATATCCTGCATTGCACCTCCATTTTGTTCATATATGAACATTATGCATGCTTTCATAAATAGCAAGGGTGGTCATCGTCATCAGTTTTATCAAAGAGTATATACTCTTTGGTTTTATGCATCACAGGTTCTTCCTATCCTTCTTTATTCTCCCTTTCGTCCACAGTTCCGTGCTTCATGTCCTGTATGGATATGTGATCCAATTTGCTAATGGTGGCCAACTCTTTCAGGTACCCAATCATTTTTCCCCAATTGATTTTCAAAATTCTAGTCAATATTCACGTTTCGAAGATAAAACCTTACCTGTAATCCTCTCCTCAATCCTCATCGCTATACTTCCTGTCGCATATAACGATTATGATTGATCATTAGTCTATCTCGCCAATCTACAATCCTTTTTTTAAATATTGTCCATAATCTTCCATTTCACTCAATGGCGATTTCACACAATCAAACGCCATCTCCCTATCAACAAGACAACTTTTTAAAACTGTTCCCCTTCTCCAAGTATCTTCCTCCAATTTTTCTGACAACCGCAACTGCGTCTCTTTTACCCATTCCTTTTTTAAAACCAAACTGTTCCTCTTGCTCACATATTCCTTCTTTCATTTCTCTTTCCATACTCCGCTTCTTAAAGTGCGCCATTTTTCCGTGCCGGCGGTATTATTGTTCTCATAAACTCACCTGGCCGCCCCATTCAAAATCTGTAAACCTTTGCAAGTATTTCTAAAGATCTATTGGATCTATACCTGCAGCCTTACCATCCTGCATAGCTGCAGCTATCTATGCTAGTAAGATGACCCCAATGGCATCTTGGTATCCTTATCCACATCATTTCTTGTGGTTTCTTTTTCCATTCAATTCTGACACTACACCGTACCTGTCTCATCCTCTATTTCTTTTCCGCACGATTCTTTAGATGTTTATTTTCTTTTACACAATATCACGTTTCCTTAACTTTTCAAGCCCTTCTACTTTGCCGTATTAGTTTCCATTCTCTGTATCTCAGCTCAGGTGATCTTCTATGCTCTAGGTATGCTTTTCTTTCTTCCTCGATCTTCTGCTGCTTATATTTCCTTCACTTTTTCCATTATTTCTGGTGTTTCCAAAACTTTTTTTCTTTCTGTGTGGTTTTTAGTCAATGCTTGCATCTTTACTCCGCTATACTTTCTATATTTCTTTCTATTTCCCATAGTATTATTATATAACCTGCCGCTATCTAATGCTTCTAACTTTCTTATTTGATTTTTCATTCCATAGTCAATCCCCATTTTATCCCCACATTCAAGTCCCATTTTCTTATATTTTTAGCAGTCTCAACCGAGGGGAAACGTCAACAAAAATCAGAAAAGTTCGGGAAATTCGATGAACATTTTTGTGAAACCCTTGCACTTTTGATAAATTGTTGAATAAACTTCCTTTTGCGTTTCAATAAGTGTGTGTTATTTGCGTTCCACCTTTCCGATAGTAAACTTGGGTTCAATGACCTGGGTGCGAGTGAGTGCGATCCACGGGCCTCTTAGTTTTGAGGGAAAAAGTTAGCGTTTTGTTTGGAAAGTGTACTTACAGTATCATTTTACTCCTTGTACTAAATTTCATGTCACAATTTGTTATTATTCACATTTTACATAATAGTTATTTAAATAAAAGTCAGGAAAGTGATACATTATTGGCGAGGTGAAGGACGAGGGTCCGAGTACTTTAATTTCCGAGTCAAGTAGTGTCATTTTAGTGACGAGTTTTGAATTAAATTTTACCCGAAATCGTATTTTAGCATAAAATTTCAATTTTTATATAGAACTTTTGATTAATATCAATCTGTCAGTGATGACAGGAGTCATTATAGACATTTAGCAATGTCACAAATGCGGCCGGTAAAGTGACGGTGCGGCCGGTAAAGTGTGACAGGTGCGGCCAATAAAGCGACAGGAAACGTAGTCTGCTCTGCCTCTGTCATGGAAACTAAAATTCCCGGACAGAAAGTAGGCATGAAAATGAAAGTTTCGAAAGTGACCTACTAAGTACCGTTATCTGAATCATGTTTGTTATACTGTGCAGGTGATTATGCCTTTATATTGTTAAGTAATTCTTGCATGTGTACCCTATGGAAGGAGGATTGCAACTCTTGTGTATTAGCATATACGGGAAGAGAGGTCTTCTAATTTGATGTTTTTCTGTATGACTGTTTTAACTATTTCCGCGAAGGAAGTACGTAATACCGTCCGATTATTCGGTGTAAGTATCTGTATCTTAGCATATATGAGGAGGGGGTGCTCTAATTAACATTTCTTCTATATTTATATGTTTTGCCTGGATGATACGGGACTTTAACATGAATACTTATTACTGGCACTCTCTCATGTACTTTTTTCGTGTTAAATTAATTGAAGTCGATGCTGGAGTCAAGCTATATATTTTTGATGCGTTTTTTTGTGTTATATTATGGTTCTATTTTTGTAAATGCAATTTATCATTTTATGAGTTTTGCCTAAATTGATCGTAGGTATATTTGTTTAATGTGTTTTTGTACTGATTCGATAGATCGTGTTTTCCACTTATTTGTTATGCCTCATATTGATTTACTGCATTTGACTCGTTACCTGATTTTATTGTACGATTTGAGATGTTTGGTCTGTATGTTTTTCTCTTTTGCGTTTTGTTGTCGTAGTAGTTGATTTTTTTTTGTATTGAGTGTGATATGTCAGTTTGTTTACCTTAAAAGGTTTCCTTGGTATCGCTTTGTTATCTGGGTAATATACCTATTTATATTTGTTTTTATCTTTTCTTACGCACAAAATTTCTAAATGGAGTAAAAAACTCTGTAAAAACCCAAAAAGCTCGGATAGGGGCGAAAAAAGGAGACAAATGGCCCTGAAATGAAGACCTGAAATTCAATTTAAGGCAACTTGAAAAATGTATAGAACAAACAACAGTGGTATAGAGAGCTATGTTAAATACAAAGATGATTTTGAAAGGTTCCACCCTGTATACGGGGTGGTGACTTGACGAACGCACCATAGGAATTTCAATAGTAATTTTTTAATTCCTGATTATGGGCTTCCCTAGACCCTAATTATTTTAGAAACAAAAAGCCTATTTAGGTTTTTTTGTGGAGAGAATAAATTACGAACAGGGGCGGACTGGGTACTTACGGGCCAGGTGGAATTGCATAGGTTACGGGCCATTAAAGTATTAGTGTAGTAATGAAGGTGGCGGGGGGTAGCTCTGCGGTGCACCACAAAAACATTTTTTTGCTTCATTTTAGTACTCCTTTTTCGGAAATCAATTACAATACAGTTTTTTTTTTAAATTGCAGCTGATAATTAAAACTTTTGATTGAGACGTCCGATCGAAAAAGTACGAATTGTTTTGGATTCTACGCACCAAAATTAATAAGAAAAAGTGTTTTCCCGAGAAATTTTGGTGCAGTCGATTTTTGGTAAAAAAAATTGTCTCAGATCGACCCGGAAAAAAAATTTCTTATAGAATGTGGCCTGTAGAATCCATAATTTCAAACAGCTCCAAGATTGGGCTACTAGTTCAAAAGTTACAGCCCTTTGAATTTTCTTTCGAAATTGGTTTCTAGTCAGGGGCGGGCCAGGTGGAATTGCATAGGTTACGGGCCATTAAAGTATTAGTGTAGTAATGAAGGTGGCAGGGGGGTAGCTCTGCGGTGCACCACAAAAACATTTTTTGCTTCATTTTAAAGTACTCCTTTTTCGGAAATCATTTACAATACAGGTTTTTTTTAAATTACAGCTGATAATTAAAAGTAACAAAATATACAATCCAAACGAGGCGCGTCGCCTATCATTGTATTTCATCACTTTCATGCTACGACAAAAAATGATAAATTTATTGTAAAACACTTCAATTAAAACAGAATTTTTTAATTTTTTAACAACCTAACATCAACCCCAATTAGAGAAACGTGTTAATAACTTATTAATAGTGCAAGAAACTAAATACAGCACATACTTATAAATTTCCAACGGGCCATTATGACGTACAGGCCAGGTGGCAATCGCCACCCGCCCCCCCCCGGGCCAGTCCGCCCCTGATTACGAATCCGTACATACTACCACTATATACGTCGTATATCTGTCCTAAAGGGTAGGTAGCTAGGTGAAGTGATCACTTTAACGGCAAGGTTAGATAAAGTGAAACAATTCATTGTAGGTACAGTGGCCATAATGTGCCATGTCGGCCATGTTTTTTCCAAGTTATTATTTAGCTGACTGGTTTAACCGGATTAGTAGATTTTCCTATGGTTACAATAATACTGTCACAGCAAGATACATTCTTTACCTTGGTTTCTAGGTTAATTTCCACCAATCCGGTGTATTTGGTCAAAACATGGTGGATCTCCTAACTACCAATAGAAAGTAACACCACCATATATGACCATACTGTCTCTATAGAGTCATTGTAATTCATTGGGCATTCCAGTGGCATCTGTTATTCTTATTCAAAATAGGACGCAGAGCACGAAATAAAATGAAGTTCAGAACAGTATGACAGGAAACGACCGGAGAACCTAACCTTGCTATTTTGGACGTCTAAATTAAATACCTACAGAATTTTCAGAAGTTTTTGTGTTATAATGCCCTATTTGGTCTATCTAGGTCAATTTAAAAATCTTTCAAATACTATTTTTGGATGGCCTGAAAAGTACATATAGCGCTCCGCAAATGCGTTGAATGCGTTTCCAAAAGCTTCTCGGACCGTTTCTACCTCCTTGGATAGTTACATAAAAAGTTAAAATTTCCGACAAAGGACTAGAGAGCTCTTCGAAAACTTTGAACGCTCTGGAAAAATTTAGGTTTCTCTGGAAAGTCTGGATGTTAAAACTTACGAGTTCGATCTACGTCATTTCCAGAGCGTAAGAGAAAAAGGAGAAAAAGGCTTGGGGAATTTGGGAAGAGATAAATCGCTTTAAAGACAGAATAGAAAGCTCTGTAAATACTAAAAAAGCTTTAAAACGTTTTCAAACAATTTTAAATATGAAAGGTTATGGATAGCCCTGTTCGAGCTTAAAAGCCGCGGTATAATTGGCTCTGGAAAACCGTTGAATGGTCTACAAGGGCCTAATAACCCTAAAAAAAATGCTAAACGCCTTCAAGTTTTGCGTTCCCGAAACTTTAGAAACGTTAGAGGGCTTTTCTGCCAACAACCCATTACCCATTATTTTTCTTTTTAATTCTAAGAAGCAAAATTTCTTTCTCCAATAAAGCTGTAGTCTTATCTATCAGATTTATTGACAGGCGTAACTCAACTGGCCGTGTGGACCAAGTTCCCAGAAATCAGCAAAAAAAACACGCTACCCAGCGAGTTTGATAACGACGGATGCAAAATAAACAAAATCTCGCGTACTCGGAATAGAACACGTCACATCCCACGACCTCTCGGCGCCTTAAGCTTTCACATGCATTTATACAGTCAGAACCGTATTTAGGAACCATTCGTCCACATATACAAAATCGAAGAAAATGATAGGAAATGCCGTCAAATAAAATTCGTTAACGGGCTCTCGATAGACATCCAGTGGTGTTTAGTGTTTGTAGTAAAGTGGAAATTGTTCATTTTGATAGTGCGCCTTTAATAGTTGCTTGCGGGTTGTATATTATTTCTATGTGTGTAACGAGTGGTAGAAATTTACTGATCGTATTTGCTTTAACTAAAAACCCTTATAGTTGTATGTGATCTATCTAAGTGGCAACCATTTTATCTTACTTAACCTCTTTTCAAACGATACTAATGTAGCGAAGAACGAATGCGGGTGTGACGCAATCCTTATGGGAAAATAGAGGTATTTCTTGTCATGGCAGGGAGGGCACCTGCTGCATTTGACATCTGGGACTGTCATTGTTGAAATGGCGCGACAATTCTGTCAATTAAAAGCCTTCATGTCTCCTCACCCGTTACTCCAAAAAGAGTGAACGCAAGCACCGGCGCAACGTGCTGTAACGCCGTTACCAGAAACGTCGAAGCGTCACCTCAGAGTTAATACCTACAACCGCCAAAAGTGTATCAGGTTTTTAGGCGAATTTTTGAAAAAAAATCCTCTTATGCGATGGTTTATTAGGTCTGTCCGTCAGTTCCTCGTTTAACTCGACAAGGAAAAGAGATAGCGATGTCAATTGATTTCTACGAGTTCAAGGATAAGTGCTATTGAATATGAGCCGGATTAAAGGTCGTGTTTGTGAATGAGAGCGGTGCACAAAAAATTCCTCTACTGAAAATCGTATGCGATTCTTCGTATCTTGTTTTATATTATTTATATTATTTAATTATTTATTATGTTCAGTTCTTAAGTTAATTAAATTTACATAAATTGATTAAATTTGCGTTACAGTAGGTACTAACAATGTATTACTCCATTTTGCATAACACAATTCGTAATCTTACAAATTCCGAATGCAACTATTAGCTGTTTACCATTTAATATTTAATATTCACTTCAAACATTGTTAAATCATTTCTACGTGGGCTTGCACATCAAATATAAATGCAAATAGACAATATAAAGGTGCGAGCTTTAAATGTTCTTTTTCTTGCCAGTTAAACAAAGATTAATTCTTTAACACCCTTAAAGGCACGATAATGGGTTGAATATACAATACCCACAAAAAAATGTGATTGCGTTATTTTTACAGTAAGTAACGTCAGCGAAATCCTTGGGCATGCGACTCGATTTGGGGCTGTTTTTGTAGCGTATATCCAAAAGATTGTCGATCGAGCAAAAAATCAATAGGTGGCGACTCCCGTATTTACTTGATTTATGGATATTCTTTAATAGTACCCAATCAATAATTACACCCAAGAAACCAAAACCGTTTTAAGATATCACATAAGCAGTGCGATCTCATCCCATACATTTGATATTTATGTAAAAACAACACCCTGTAGATTGGATACCCATCCATCAGTCACTACAAGAGGAATTATTAATCACGGCCCACTTATATGAATAAGATCTACTAATTTACGTGACATTTATACTGCGGTATGTATGATTTGTCGCCTCGTTTATGCCACCACTGCCATAAATCAGTTGAAGTTCAAGTGTATAAAGTATTGTACCCAATTCGATGAAAAAAACGGTGTAGGTGACAAAACCTGAAACCGAGTACGCCATACGGGTAGACCCCCCATCGAATCCTGCTGGCAAATAACAACATGTAACAAGAAGTGAAAGATCAATATGACGTCAAAGTCTAATTTCGACAAAATTATGATTATGATGAAAAAAACCGCAGTATTTGGTGTAAAATTAACGTTTATTTTTGGTATTATTACGAAGGGCTGTAAATGAAGGCAGAATTTCATCTTTTTTAATATGTGAAATTGAGATTTTTGTCTTCTTTTGCTATGAAGTGATTTGCACCAAAGTGTGAGGTCTATTTTTCTGGAAAGGTTTGTTAAAAAATCCGTTATATTGAGCTAAAAGCTTTCGATACAAGGAGTGATGAGCCATTAACCGGGCCCCCACCTCCGCCCCTACCCAGAACTTGCTATGAGCCAGATCATAACCCATAAGGTGCATTTCTTTTGTTTTAGCCTACGCGAATTCCACAGTGGATTTGAAGAATTTTAACACTTCGAGGTAAGAAACCCAGGAATGGACAGGAATCCCTGTGCCTACACCAACCTGGGATATCATTTCCATTGTAACCATCTCTTCCTTATCTGTGACGAAAACATTTGATTGAATAAATGCAATTGCTTGTTTCAATGAAAAAAAAAAATGCTACGATCCGTGAGATAACCACGAAATGCATTACATTAGCCTTCTTGGAATTAGGAAAATCCACCTGATGCCATTAAGAACACGCTTAAGTATAATTTAATGGTATTCATTAATGTTAACGGCATTAGAGGTATTTCATCTCGGCTGATTGTTTTCTTTGGGAGCGCCTCCTTTTGTCGTGGCATTGAGGCAAGGTGGTCGTCCTTCCACGCAATCGACATAGGGTGGTACCAGATCGAATATCCAAAAGTTCGACGAAATTCTAAATTTGGACTTCGCAAACAATTGACGTCATTCTTGAACTGATCATAAATAATGTATTCGATTTGTTTTGCGCGTGGAAGGAACTGCAGTGACATTGGCAACCGATTTGCCATCTTCTTGCGCTGAATTTACAGCTAAAGAAAAAAGAAATGCGTAGGGTCAAGGCAGATTAATGTTTAATAGACGAATTTAGTAAGTTGTTAATGTCGTTACTTGGCCGAAGACCATCGGCTTGTTCGTAAATAGCATTTCTTTACTAGTGAACGGAGGGGAAACGCAACTTATAAAAGTTTTAAACAATATCGTGTTTGGCATTTAGTTAGTTAGTAATCAAGCTGTTAGCATAATTTATTTAAAATGTGGAAATATACGATCCTAAGTGTTCTTATATGCGGATATTACTTCATTTGTAAGTTAATTACAAACGTTTTGCTTGTTTAATGACCGTTACATTTTTAGGCGTATCAAGTGAAGAAGGAAAACCGCCCCTCAGCGCGAAATGTTTAGGGTGTATCTGCGAGGCGATTTCGGGCTGTAATACTACCAGAAAGTGCATCGGTGACATTTGCGGCCCTTTTGCCATTACATGGGGATATTGGGCTGACGGTAACAAGCCCACAACCGCCCAAAAGCCGGCCGATGATCCAGAAGCTTATTCGTCTTGTGCCAACGATCCCTACTGCGCCGCATCCGCCGTTCAACACTACATGTATAAATTCTATCAGGTGAGGACTAATTAAAAATGCGAAACGTGTCTCGAAACAATGGCCGTTTTTCAGGATTGCAATGGTGACGGTAAGGTAGACTGCGACGATTTTGCCGCCATTCACAAGTTGGGAGGCTATGGGTGCCGAGCTCCGCTTCCAGATTTTTACCTTCAACGTTACCAGCAGTGTAAGCAGTACGTTGGAGGAATTTTGTAAGGAGAATAGAAGAGCTGAAGATTTCTAAATTGATGTGTAACTACCTTTTCCAATGACCACTTAATCAGTTTTAAGGAAATAAATTTATATGACTAGGAATTTGCCAGTTTTGAATGGAGATGGTGAGGTCATCGGTCCACTCAAAACGCCTTTATTGCTTCAGGACATTGTATATATTTTTAATGATGATAAGCTGTGGCAATGTGACATAGATAGGATTTCGATTCAGGTTGGGTCAGTCCAACCCCCAACTGAAAATGAACGAATTTTTTTAATTTTTTCGGGGAGCATTTGAACCCCTTGGACACATTCTCAAGTTGCGCCTCTGGTGATTATATGTCAATTTGCTCGTCAAACTTAGGTAAACCCATACGGTATATCTGATTAATTGATTTATAACGGGGTTTAAGTACACTTCATAATTATAATGAAAAACAAATAGATAAAAGTCAGGTCTATTAATAGTAGAATTAAATCTGTTGCAAAAGTCCATTATCCGTATCTTAATTTCTCTGATTTATAGTATGATCTGCTGCACCTTAAAAATCAAGGAGCTGTAAAGAGAATTATCATTAACATTGGATTGAATCATACGATAAGTAAACACTTTGTGGAACGATCACTATCTTCTTATTCATGGAAACACATCTATAAATACCTATGAGAGATCCTTATTCGATACTAAAAATTTTTACCGCTATACCACTGAGCGTTATGTGTAGAATATACCTAATTAAAATTCATAGAAATTGAAACGACAGCGTCTGAGCCGGAACGGATTGGAAAAATCGTCCTAAATATGGGTTGAAAATTATGGGTTTGATTGCGATCCATCCAGAAACAGTTAAATTTAAATTAATTAGCGATGATATACCTAATAGCGCGGTAAAATGGTCTTCACAGATGGAACAGTCCATAACGTCATGGCCACTATATTCTTTTGCATCGTGCCATAACGTCAAGCAACTTTGGCAATCAATTTGCTAGATCAAACAAAGATCCATGTTTGATAGAGCCCAAAGTACCTACTTCGTAACTTTTTTTTTTAATTTTTGGGAACTTTGTATAGGTCCTCCGCTTGGCCCTGTAGCGGGGGGGAGTGTGGAACTGTGTTGACTTATATGAGCGTTGTTATTAGGGTGCTATGAGGCCAGATCCTATTTAGCCTTCTAGAAGATGGGTGATCAGTGGACAGTTGGTGTACGATATTATTGTTGTGGCCCTGGAGTCTGTCGTGGTAATTTAGGGCGTGCCTTTGAATTTCGTTAGTGACGAATGAAATGCCAAGATCCTGGTGTAGGGTTTCGTTTGAGAGCGCGGAGGGTTTTGGACTGGAACTGTTGTATTGTCTTAATTCTAGTGGGTTTGGCACATCCCCAGAGATGCATTCCATATGTCGAAATTGGTTTTAACATTGGTTTGTAGAGCAGTAGGTAGCTTGTTGGACAAGGACAGTCGTCCAAGTAGCCAATAGATTTGGCGAAGTTTTACGTTTAGTTTGTAATGGAACTGAATTACAGCATGATTATTGCCATTTATGGCCCATTCTAGATACAAATTGCACTTTTATTAATTATACTGGTCATACTTTGAATTAAATGCATAGAGATTCTACATAAATATGTTGTTTTCCAATTAACAGTACTCCTTTGTTCCAAGCGCTGGCAACATGAATTACTGACCGATTTACGTGTTTTTAATTATATTTAGATACAGTATGATCTCTTAGGGGTGATATTCAATACAAGTATGCAGAACTACATTTTAATTTATAATTGAATTTATTACAGCACATTTCACTTTTGTTTGCATGAATATGTTACTGTTTATTTACAGGGTGCTTCATCTGGGGGCGAGTGACGTACGTAAGTTGGTTGATTGTTACATATTGCACTTGGCATTGAGAATTAATTACTTTTGTAAGAACCATATTTTAGGGTACCTAGTCCTTAATAACGAAAAAGTAAAATGTTTATGCAACCCCTATTTGATAAATGTGGCAAGCTGGCTGGTCAAGAATGCGCGATTCTGCACATATGGGTGCAAGGGTCTTAAGGGATCGTGTTAAGGCAGTTAAGTTGCGTACGCGCTCTGGTCACGATCGTAAGGGATGCTAAGTAGAGCATCGAAAGTATTAGCGAGTTTGGCGTAATAGCCTTTAATGTGAGTGTCTCCCACGTGTAGGTGGTGAATGTATTGTGCAGGCCATCGTGCTGGTCGTGCTTTGTTGTTGGGCTTAGGTAAAACCCCTCGAAGATATCCGGATATATTCCTAGGCTTTTAGAGTGCAGTATGTGTTGTACGTGCCTATGACGCGGTCCCGCGGGTAGCTCCCGTTGATTATACCGCTGAGTGATCATCTACTCGCTCGAGTAGATCATGGTGTCGACCCTAATACGAACCATTCAAGGCCTCATTGCTAGCAAAAAGAGTTCGGGGGTGAGCTTGACCTGGATGTCGTTCCCAGGTAGGGCAATGAGAGGCATGGATCGACGGTGGTTGATCTATTGGCTGAGGGTCCTGATCAGAGGACCGAGGCGGGATGTGTATCCTAAATAATACGCGTGCGCGCGGTGTAACCCTTTCCCAGATAGGTATGAGCTCCATCTTAACCCTTCAACGACGCATTCAACCCCAATCGCCAACCGGAGTGTTCGGAGATCCAGAAGAGCTTTGTGCCAGCTCGAGGCTAACGCCCCCCTGTGAGTTACTTAATTAATTGGTGAGGATCGCGGGTAAACAGTCGAGATGTTTGTTTACATGACCCTTGAGCGCGTGAGTCGACCAGTCAGACTCAATGCTGCCATGCGAACCCTTATGCGTAGATTACAGAAGGACGTTTCTAATGAAACGTGCGAGTTTACAGTAGATTTGTCGCATCTTAATAATGAATTCTGTTATTTTTATTTTTTTTGTTATGTGTGTGAAATATTGATTCTTTGGGAACTCCAGCGGAGCCTGTGATTCAACATTATCTTAATTTACTTGACAACCATCATAATATGCATTCATGCCATTACAGACAACTAATTTTGCTATAAAGTTCAATATTAATTTGTTGGCTGGGTTTTTCTTGGTCAGTTCTTTTTTTCCCAGCCTATTTTTATATTTGTACTCGGTGAACTACCATTTTCTAAATTTAATCATGCAAAGCGAATATATAATAAATAATAAATAAATATTCAACTTTATTTATAACTGAAAATAAACGCAATGTGTAATGAACGACTGTGAGGTACTAAAAGAAAATTAATTGTATTTTTGTAAACTCCCTGTACAATAAAAATACATCGAACTGTGATACGTTAATATGTTAAGGACTTTCAGGCGCGAGTATAAATTCTACTGGCACTCTGTATCCACAATCACCACCTTGATAAAATAAAATTCTCTTCAATAAGTTCATAATTAAATCAATACCTTTCGATGTTACTTCAAATATACAGGGTGATTCCTATAGTACCTGCCACCGTTTGGGAGCGTGTAGGTGGTGCGTAGGGGAGTATTTTGATATAGGACACTTGGGGTCGGAAATCTAAATTAAGGGTGCCAGAGCCAAATTTACCTTCTGGAATTTCGCGCCTGTAGGTAGGCAACCCAACCGGCCGGCGGTGCACACGGAGCGATCTCAGGCGGCGATGTGTGGCTGACACTTGATCAGAATTTTGTTTAAACCCACGAAATCCCGTCTGCAACGACGCGTATCAAGTGAATAAACACTATGGCAATAGTATAATAATAGTTGGCTAGATGTAGGAAGTACATTGAGAACAACGGTGGCCACGTTGAACACTTGTAAACGTTATTGCTTTTGACTGTCGTTTTCCCTCCTTCCCTCCCATGTCATGTCGCTTCCTCGCGCTAACTCGCTCTGCATCGCTCCGCGCGAAACGTCGGTCGGTTGGGTTGCCTACATACAGGCGTGAAATTCCAGAAGATAAATTTGGTTCTGGCGCCCTTATTTTAGATTTCCGACCCCAAGTGTCCTATATCAAAATACTCCCCTAGGCACCCCCTATACGCTCCCAAACGGTGGCAGGTACTATAGGAATCACCCTGTATAACTAAGCTATCACGATACCACGACGAAAGCGTAAAACTAGAACGTGATAGCACAATTGTTCATAAATAAGTTTATTGCTTATGCAATAGGAGCTTTCAATGCGTTCTGAGCACGGTTTTCAATCCAAATAACTTTGATCCTCCCTTCAGCTTAAGATAATGGGCACGGACCGACTATAGAATCCTTATTTAGATCGTTCCTTCGATGCGTAAGTGAAATTTGCCCGCCAGTTGCGCTCTGGCCGACTATAGAATGTTATGCGGTGTTACCAATAGACAAGTAGGGGTTCCGAATTGGCTCCAGTGCCAGACGCCACTACATCACCCCCAATATAAGCAACACCGGTTGGGAATTGGTATGGGAAGGCGCTTGAATTTTTTTGGTCGGGATTATTAATGCGATCTTTTCTAGAACTCGATGCGCATTAGTGTTTCGTTCTGTTCGCGATTTGAATTTTACCCCTGGGGGACACGTAATCTATCATCATGAACCCCACTGTGGCTTTTCTCTCTCGGCTTATTCCCACTTTTTTTAATTTTACAAATGTGCCTTCAAAATAGTTGCTAATCGGTTCTAACGGCCAGCCTTATACATTCTACCAATGGCATTAATCTCTTTCTACCAATTTTTATAAAAATAATTAACCAGAAACCTCTATTGGTCGAAACTAGGTAGCGTGACTTACCTACCCCTGTAATTCTACTAAATCCAAAAATCTTATGTGATGGCCAAAAGGATATTTACAAGCCGACTGCAGCAAGCGTATCTCGGTAATGTGTTCTGGTTTACACGCGCGATGTTCCCCTGGGAAACGACAGCATCATAAGTCCATTTACAGATGATACTGCTGGGGATGCGACTGACATAAGTGGTATCGAATTAAAAGAGCGAGACCACGAATCCCACACCAAAAAGAAGTACTTAGGTCTGGTGCTTAACGGGAGGTTTTATTCACCAGTCTCAGCTAAGCATAGAATAGAAGCTCCTTCTACATCAGCAGATGCTACAATTAATTTAGATGTGCGGGCTGCACCACCCGATTGAAGCCTTTCAAAACAAAGTTTTGAGAACCGCTGTCTGTGTCCCCTGGTATGCAAGAAATGAAGCCAATCACAAAGTCGTCAAGATCAAAACCGTTGCAGAAGAGATACAAAACGCAGCTTTAAAGAAACGCAAATTTTATCACTTTCGGGTATAGGAAAGCCAGGAATGAACAGGAATCTCTGAGCTGACCCCACCTGAAATCTAAAAACTGGAGCAATACGACCTCCTTTCCATTCTAATCATTTCTTACTTGTCCGTGACCAAAACATTTAATTGGGTTACCGTTGGCTACCGTTTTCATTGATGTTCACGCCACTGGAGGATTCCATCTCGGACATTGAGGCGAGGTGGTCGTCCTTCCACTCAACGTTGCCAATCGAGATAGGGTGGGACGAGATCAAAAATCCAAAATTTCGAAAAAATGCTAACAATTGATGTCATTCTTGAACTGATCATAAATTGTTTGGCGGAACTGCAGTTACGTTGACATTGGCAACCGGTTGTTACTATTGCTATCTTCTTGCACTGCATTTACAGCTAACCAAAAAAGAAATGTGTAGGGTCAAGGCAGATTAATGTTTAATAGACGAATTTAGTAAATTGGTAAAGTCGTGCTTGGCCGAAGACCATCGGCTTATTCGCAAGTAGCACTTCTTTACTAGTGAACGGAGGGGAAACGCAACTTATAAAAGTTTTAAACAATATAGGGTTTCGCATTTAGTTAGTTAGTTAGTAATCGACAAGCTGTTCTGGATGCAATTAGCATAATTTATTTAAAATGTGGAAATATGCAATCCTAAGTGTCTTTATATGCGGATATTACGTCATCTGTAAGTTAATTAGTTGTTTTGCTTGCGTAACGATCGTTACATTTAAGGCGTATCAAGTGAAGATGGAAAACCGAAGAATCCCCTCACCCAGGTATGTTTGGGGTGCATCTGCGAGGCGATTTCGGGCTGCAACACTACCAGAAAGTGCGTCGGAAATATTTGCGGCCCTTTTTCCATAACATGGGGCTATTGGGCTGATGGTAACAAGCCCACGATCGCCCAAAAGTCGGTCGATGATCCAGATGCTTATGCGTCTTGTGCCAACGATCCCTATTGCGCCGCGTCCGCCGTTCAACAATACATGTACAAATTCTATCAGGTGAGGACTAATTAAAAATGCGATTCGGATCAATGAGCCGTTTCAGGATTGCAATGGTGATGGTAAGGTGGACTGTGACGATTTTGCCGCGATTCACAAGTTGGGAGGCTACGGGTGCCAAGGTCCTCTTCCAGATTTTTACGTTCAACGTTACCGGCAGTGTATGCTGCACGTTGGATGAACTTTGTAAAGAGAATGGAAGAGCTGAAGATTTGCAAATTGAGTGACATAAAATGTGTAACCACCTTTTCTATATAATAATAACTACTTCATTTACTTTTAAGGAAATAAAATTATATGACTAGGAATCGGCCGGAGGCAGCGATGTCATTGGTCTACTCAAAACGCTTTTTTATCCAGGACATTGACTCCAATAGAGCAGAGTTTTAATATCAGTACATTTTTAATCATGATAAGTAGGGACATTGACAGAACTTCGATTTGGGGTGAGATTAAACTGGGAGGCATTCACGGCGAGTCTCCCAAAGTTAGTGATTGCTTTTGAGCTAACACTAATTGTAAGTGATTCCTTCTCCTTCATACACCAGTGATGGAAAAATGCTAATTTGCTACATTCGTGAAGAGTTATAGTAACCGGATACGGTACATTTGCCTAATTGATTTTTGCACGCCATGACATAATTTATTATTATGTAAGACAAATCGTAAAAACTTCATCCGCCTTAGATTTTCTAGGATTTATAGTTCATATGCATCCTAAAAATGCAAATCTCCTTTCAGGTTTTAGGTACCTATACCATTTGAAGCTTTAGTTTCGAAGTTTCGTGCATACGTGTCATGCTTCACAGATATTAAAAAGTTATACATTTATAACATATAGCCAGATTGTCACTTGTCACCTCCCCATCGAGGTTGGAACTTAAAAATTAAACATGATTCAATTTGCTTATATAGCAAACAGACATTTCTAGAGCATTTTCGAATAAACACATCATATTTTTCCCGGAAAGAATTCACCTTCATTCCTTATCGCCGGATGAGTAATCTTTGGCCGACTTGTTGCCGCCCTGATGGCGCCACGATGTCGCGCTGGGGTATTGGTCTCCTTTCTTATTTCCAATTATCTTTAATTTTTGGGTAAATTGAAACTGATTTACAACCAGATTTGAACGTGGATGATGTTTTTCTATCCTCGATACCACAATTGGATCCTCGAACCATACGAAAAGTGCTATGTGCTCCGTTTTTAAGTTACCTCCTATATCTCTAATGAAATTCGGCACAATAAATGCACCTCTAGAAAATTGCTTCTCCACGTGAATTCGCATTCCAGAAAAATTCGCACTCGCCGGCGTATTCGTCTATTACCATCTTGCTACTAGGAACATTCACTAGCAGCAAACCTGTCCTCTATTTTAAAGTCATTTTCTCTTTTTAGCGCATTTTTGCAAATTTATTTGTTTTAATCTCACTTTGGCTGGATGGCTGGCTGGCTGGCAGCAAATAGAACTCTTGTAGAAAGGCAATGGGTGTACGTGTATCTGCAAGGCCGTGTAATTTGTCAACCTTAGGGACAGGGCTACATGATGTGGGGTTGGCAACATCTGGGCGTCATCCTCGAGCGTAGTTTACTAACGTATATTGATGGAATCTACTAGCACCCGGTACTTCGATAAAGTGAAACGAACACTTTCTTACGAGAAACTGTAGTTCTGTACCTATGTAGATTTGTACTAGGGGAAGGTTAAGGTATTTACTTTGATTTCTAGCATCGTATTTTAACCGCTGATAAGACAACCAACTGCGGAACATAATTGTGAAGTTTTTAATTGTTCCAGTAGCATCCGACAGCCCTCTGCATTGGGTATGCAGGGGAAAAATTAATATTTTGAGATTTTAGCTCCGTTAATTAGGTATTAGCCGATTTCAGTTTCCCAATGTTAAACTAAAACGGGCACTAAAGGTTGATTCTCACTTGTGCTGCACTCAACTCGGCGCCGCGACGCGATGCCGCGCTGCGCAGCGTCCATAAATAGAGATTTCATGTTTTTAAATGCGTGGCGTCGTAAATACATTCATTTAAAACACGAAAAGTTTTTAGCGATGATTTGCAGCGCGGCATCGCGTCGCGTCGCCGAGCTGAGTGCAGCGCCAGTGTGAATCGACCTTAACGCTGCAAGGCCGTGTAGTTTATTTCATTATGGCAGACCTTTAACGATTGACCCAAAATTCCAATGAGCATTACTGGGCTACCGAAATTGGAAATTTTAATCTCGCCAATTAAGTGAGTATAATTAACCGTACTTAATTAATTGTGTTGCCGTAAACTTGCTCTGATTAGATTGGGCCTAGTGCGCTTAATTAATATGAATTTCAAGAAAGCGCTTGATATTGTCATTCCTCTAGGTGTAAAGGGGGTTTGTTGTGCCTTGTGTCGTATTTCTGTAGCTAGTAGATACCGTTAGTTGCTTTGTGCTTCCTTTTCCGCTTTAGAAAATCGCTACCGTTTCCGTGTGCCGTAATTCTGTTTTAGATTTTTGCCAGTGACCGTCACCAACCGGAGAGAACCGTAGCGTTCCAAATTATCTGCATAGACTTCTTATTTTGCGAATTAAAATTGATCTTTTTGGACCCAACTAATTTTTTCTCCGTTTTATTCATATGAAGTTGATTGTGCGCGGACATCGCGGCTATTGAAGCATAGCGTGCCCCAAGCTTTGTTTTATATGTACCTTTACTAAATCATGTCTGTTTGTTATGCTGTACAGGTGATTATGCCTTTATATGATCTTATTAAGTAGTTATTTGTGTATTCACGTGGAGTATACTTTGTAGCTCCTCGTAACTCAAGAGGTTGAGCGCCACCCAGTTCTTTTTAAAAGCTGCCTCTGCCTCTGTATAAAATGAAGATACCAAAGAAAGTTATAAACAAATTAACCAATGAAATGCTGGTATATGTGTCCGCAATAAAAATGAGTATCACTTCATTAAACTTATTAAAGTTACCCCCCATTAATACGCTTACATACAGGGTGACAATTTGAAAACTTACCACCCCCCATATCTTATTAAATAAACGAGATATTTAAAAAAATCAAAATCCGTTTCGGTAATTCGGAGGGGGAATCACAATGACATAGTTGGCGACGCACCCCCTCCAACCCCCTGCGCCCCAGCCACCCCAACTTTTAAATCTTAAATAGTGACCCCCCATGTGTGATACGTCGTTGGAAAGCTCTGAAAAAATGCTTTTCAACCATACCAAATAGCATTACATTTAGGTTAGTAATTATCGTGCAAATCAAAAAATAAACTAATATGATACATTTGAAATCTGTCGTATTTAAAACGCAACCGGCGAACATAGACGAACTAAGACAGAGAATAATTCAAGAATGTCGAAATATTGCAAAACCAACATTTGAAAAGGTTCGACAAGAGTTTGAGAATAGATTATAACTGGCGATCAAAAATGAGTTGCTGTCGAGTCGGCTTTGGAAGTTCAAGTTAAATACGATTTTCCATGTTTATTTTTTGATTTGCACGATAATTACTAACCTAAATGTAATGCTATTTGGTATGGTTGGAAAGCATTTTTTCAGAGCTTTCCAACGACGTATCACACATGGGGGGTCACTATTTAAGATTTAAAAGTTGGGGTGGCTGGGGCGCAGGGGGTTGGAGGGGGTGCGTCGCCAACTATGTCATTGTGATTCCCCCTCCGAATTACCGAAACGGATTTTGACTTTTTTAAATATCTCGTTTATTTACTAAGATATGGGGGGTGGTAAGTTTTCAAATTGTCACCCTGTATATCAAGACTATTGAATTGAAATGGAATATAAATCCCAATGAATGCCAAACCATTAAATCTCCTAATTCAATAGTGATCGATAAATACCAAATTTGGTTCCAATCGGTTCAGCCGTTTAGCCGGAAATGAGAGTACCGACGGACCGACAGACCGACAGACCGACATCATCGAGATTTTGGTTGATTCGGATTCCTGGTGCTTTAAAACGTATATTTCCGTAAAAAAAGTGGGGGATCATTTTTTACTTCCCTCACTATGTGTCTCTAGATTTGCTTATGGTGTAGTTTGACGTTAATTTAGATTCATTGTAAAACGTAGCGTCATTTTGCCTTTTGCCTTCAGGTAGTACACAGTTGTATTTACTTTAATTGTCAAATTCAGTTTTCGTGATAACAAAAGGTAATGTAATTAGTTTTAATTGTAGTTTTTCGCTTTATTATTGTATTGCCGTCAGCTGCTTGTAACTGAGGATAGGTGACTCTTGAATTTGAATTTTCACATTTTTGTTTCTAGAAAATTCCTGGATTCTTTTGGAGAGCCTGGGAAACTTTAGACCTTTAAAAGCTCACAAAGATAGTAAATTTTATATACTATTGGACTCGATTGGACGAGGACGCTATTGGAAGAGAGCGCTGGTGGCATCTAAAAGCTCTCGCAGATCTTCAAAGACCCAAAGGTTGGGTTTTAAAAGGTTTTCGTAAATTATGCAGGAATTTGGGCGGTCTTTTTAGCGCATTTTTTCAAATTTATTTGTAAAAAGGTAGCTTTTAATCTCACTTTGGCTGGCTGGCTGGCAGTAAATGCGAGTCCGTAGAAGAACGCTTTTAAAAAGACGAGGAATGTACATGTACCTATCGGGGCCGTGTAATTAACAACTTTAGGGATGGGACTAAAAGATGTGGGGTCGGCGACATCCACGAGCGTGTTATGCCAACTTGGAGATTTTTCAGTTTTTTTCTCAGATTGTTTTCAAATATGTGTCGTCGAAAAGATCAACGCGCACAACTCCTGCGCGGCGGAATTTGGTTTTTTTTTTCTTAAGGGCGACATAATTCACCTTTTGCACGCCACGCTTCGGGGGTAGTCGACTTTGGGCGTCTAAAAGTTTCTTAGAGCTCGAATCGCCGTCTCTCTTTCTTGTCGCCAATAGAAACTCGAGCTATGAGAAGTCCCCAAAAATTAAGTACCATTTTGCACCGGGTTTTTTTAGCGAAATCCACCAAAATGCGAATTGCGAGTTAACGGGACGTCGGAGGTGGGTTCAGACAAAGAAAATGTGGTACCCTTCGACAAGATCTTCTTGATGGCGGGTCAATACTGGCTAATAAAACACTGATCTGCCACACAAACATGCGCTGATCGATCTCACACGAGGACTTTGACACTTTTTTCCTCCACCTGTTTTGAAAGGAATTCTAAACGGGCAAAAGGCACCTATTAAGAGAACGTCTAAAGTAGATTTTCCTTAGTTTGCGCGCAGGCCACAACGCAAAAATGCCATCGGGTTAACCAAGAAAAAGTAAGCACCTTATTTCTAATCTTATTTGTTATTCTGAACGAGAAAGAGATGGTGGTCTACTTTTACCAGTCTCAGCAGTAAGAGAGGTAAGGGGTTACTTTAGTAGTATAAGAATTCGTATACGTAACAAGTTTCATTTTACAGAGAGTTGGGGATGTAATAAATATTAGCCTGCGAACAGTGACCTTTATTTCACAAATCGGGTAAACTTCTAGAAAATTCTAAAAAAAACAAGACAATGTAAGAAACCCGTTAACGATGTTGATGGTTTCAGGCAAGTGGCGATTTGGGACTCCATCTACGACACATTAAGTTAAAACACACGTTGAATGGTTGAATGTAGATAGGCGTTTATGTCAACTGTACAAAGATTAGGTACATTATATTAAATATTTGCGTAGATATTATAAGTAGTTTAAGTTTGTATTTTAGAACATCTCACGCTTCAATCCCTTTTGCAAGTTCTAAAAGAAAAAGAGCAAAAGTTCTTTAAAAAAAATTGTTGCGAATATTGTTTTTTTTTCCAAAAAAGAAACCACCAAACTCAAAGTCTGTAATGGTAATTCACTAAGAGTGATGGAGGCTGGAGATTCTTGTTTACGACTGTAATCTGGTGTTAAAAACTGATTAGTCTAGACTAAATGCAAAAATTAGTATACAGAGTATCTCAAATTTAGACAATCTCCAGTTTCAGGAGAAGGGGTGCCGCAAGGTTCTATTGCGGAGCAATTATTCTATATTCAGTGCTACACTACAAATAGTATATTAAGTATGGAGAACGGTAAGGGATTTTTACCGTTCGAAGACAATTGTTTGGAGGAGGAGCGAAGCGACGACTCCAATTATTGTCTGAGAACGGTAACCCTTAACGTTCGACGTGCTTATAACATTTTTTGCGCAATCGAAATTAAAATTATCCAACCAATATAAATATGCACTAAGAAATTAACGAGCAGAATAAATCGAAATGATCGAAGTGGTATGGTGTACATCACTAGGTAACCAGTTTAAATGTCAAAATTGAAATTAATAATTTCATAAAAATGTGCATGTGTCTGATGTAGTTTACTAGCTTTGCACTTCCTTTATGACTTTATGAGCGTCTTGTTATAGGAAACAACAGCACAAATTGTACGTTTAATGTACCTAACAATAATTAAAGATTAAATGTAATGTAAGACTGTTGATTTTTAAAAAGGCGTCGGTAAGTATTTTTGCTGTTCTGTTTTTAGATCGGTAAGTAATTTTGGCGTCGTCGTAATCATAGCAACTGGTAAATTCTACGTACTGTCATGGAAACACCCATGGTAAATAGTCAGAAATGACCGATCGCGCAAAAAAGGTTTTAATTATAATTATTGTTAAATGGATAATTATTGAGTGGAGATTTTATCGCATTCGCCTTATAAGAATAGCTTCAATTAGATCGCCCATGGCAAAAGTCATTGAATTTCTATTTACGAAGCGTTTGTTATTGGTGTCATCAGCTCGGACTTCAGTCCATCGAGTTGTTTCGTTCACCAATCAAAATTCAAAGTAAGTGAGCGTCTAAAACGCGCTTCTTGTTCAAATTCCTTTTAGCGCGCATCGAACAAGCGTGGCTCGGAATTTTAATTTCGTTTGACACACGCAACGTCTTCGCGAAATTAACATACGTATTTAAATAAAATAGTTTTGTTAACGATATGGGTAAGTACTTTGTAAACGATTGTCTTTGGGCGGCCTTCGAAACGCTTAAAAGCGATGCCTTCGACGTTTCCACATTTAGTTTTAATGTGTTTGCGTTGAAAAAAGCGGTAAGTTGACCGGTTCCAAAAAAGCTTTTTTTATACAACTAAAATTAATTATTGATGTATTAAATTTGGTGCTAATTTGCGTATACCATCATGAATCATTATTTTGAGATGAAATTAATATCAAACACGTTATTGTGATTATATATCATCATTTAATAAAAACACTTATTCAATATCACTTATTAGATCGAGCAAAAAAAAATCAGTCCAATTAAGTAATAAGTGCGTATATTAAAAGAGCAAAGGGCGAAAATTTTTTTTGAAAAAAGGTGGCGATATGCAAAAAAGGTCGGTAATGCTGATCATCAGATAAATTCTTCCTCATTAAATAATACTTGGGAACTCTGCGTTTTTTCCATGATCGTGATGAACACTTAACTTGTGACGGTGTCAAATTCCTTTGATCTTGGGACTATAATGTAAAAATTTATAAACAATTTGAATACAGAAATCTCTAATTTGCCCAACCATAGAAAACTGATAGCATTAAATGTGCAAGGTGAGTGTTGTCTGGATGGAAAAGTTTCCCCTTCCGAGAAGCAGCCTTTTTTATTATGTTTGTCAAGTTAATTACTTTTACCTTAAGCACTCTGTTATTATAATTAGAATTTTAAACAATTATCAGCGTCTTGTATAGCGTGGGTGATTGCGAAATAATACATTGCAAAAATGGTTAGGCAAATGTCAAAAAAGCTGCGAATTTTTTTGTCAAATTTAGGATTTAGAAATGGAAGAACTTGTAAATAAAATAAGCTTCTGCTGAGACTAAAATATGGAAAATTCAAAACATATTTTTCTAAAAAAAACAACAGCCAAAAATAGCTTGGAAGCTGCGCCCCAAGAAGTACCAGAATTTGGGTTTCTTTACAACCATAACAAATAAAATGATGGAACTGACAGCTTTAGTTAGATTTTTAAAAGGATTTTCGTGTTTTTGTAAAAGTTTTTCGTTTTACCCAAAGGTTGTCGTGAATATAGTTGGCATCCATAATTTAGGACTTAAATTTCGTGATTGGAATTATTTAAACAAATTAATAATATCTAATGTAAATTTCAGATCTAGTATGAAAATTGTCACATTTATAAATTTAGGAATAATTTGTTCCCATGCGAAATGCTTTATAAACAAATTATTTTGGTTTTGAATCACAATACCAGTAATGTTGCAGCGAGAAAGAAGTGAAAAAGACACGGAATACCGTGGAAAGGGCTTAAACAGCTTCAGAAAGAATAAAATTGTTTGGAATTTTTCATTTTAATTCTGTGTCAGTGTGTCATTACCATACCTACCTTACTCTTGAATTTGATTTGAAGCTCATGCTTTTATTCTATTATTGTGATGTGATTACTGATCAGGTAAGTGGAGTCGACGTTATATCTTTACTTCTTGACACAATTAATAGTGGAAAACATGCAAAAAAAAGATTCGCATAGCTACCCTCTCCTTGAAGTGATACAAAAAGAGTAAAAATCGTTTTTCTGAAAAAACCATTTGGTGCTACATAACTCCCCCCTTGCACCCTTTCAGTTATTTGTGACATTTTGAAAAATACATCTTTTGTTTGTTGGACAGTTTTTAAAATGTTGTTTGCTGTTTGCGAGAAAAATATAGCAACAATGACACCTCATATTCACATATTAAATATAATAAATGTCTTCATTGTCTAAAAAAACGGTAATTAGAAATAATTACCTCCAAAAATCTCAATAATGGTTATGTACGGAGAGTAAATTTACATTTAATTTAACGATAACTGCAAAATAGTCCCATCTAGGTCTCCACAGCGGTTATTAGGCGGTAAATGGGCAATGGGAATGAAAAGTAAATTTTTCAAAATTGGGCTTCCTCATTCCATAAAAAAAATGATGTTCATTATGTAATCGATCGACATTGATTATCTTAATTATCGTTCCCTTATTTGTAGAGAATAGAATATTCTGCTAGGTACATAGAAACCAATTTCGAAAGAAAATTGAAAGGGCTGTAACTTTTGATCTAGTAGTCCAATCTTGGAACTGTTTGAAATTATGGATTCTACAGGCCACATTCTATAAGAAAATTTTTTTCCGGGTCGATCTGAGACAATTTTTTTTTCGGGCCTCAAAAAAGGGCAGTGTATAACCTCCCTTAACTTTTGATCTAGTAGCCCAAGTTTGGAACTGTTTGAAATTATGGATTCTACAGGCCACATTCTATAAGAAATTTTTTTTTCCGGGTCGATCTGAGACAATTTTTTTTCGGGCCCCAAAAAAAGGCAGTGTATAACCTTCCTTTTTTACCAAAAATCGACTGCACCAAAATTTCTCGGGAGAGAAAACACTTTTTCTTATTAATTTTGGTGCGTAGAATCCAAAACAATTCGTACTTTTTCGATTAGACTTCTCAATCAAAAGTTATGGACTAGAAAGCTAGGACTGGGAAAGTATCGATCGTCGATACTGACTGTATGCAGGTATCGAAGTATCGTATATATCGATACCGATACTTGCGATACCTCGATACCGCATTTCTGGTATCGCCCAGCCCTAGTACATAATTATGTATTTAGCAGACGAAAACGTAGTCAAGTAATTGTTGAGTTAATTAAGTGCTAATTTAGTGCTTCAATTCGAACTTAGTTCCGCTTTATTTTTAGAAAGACGACATGTCTGTCAGCTATTGTGTAGTTTGCAGAATTCTACCAAGCGATAGAAAAGAGAACCAATACCAAATGCTAATTTGTGAACAGTTGAATGGTAATTTAGTGCTACAGCAGTTTCTGATAGCTACATATACAGGGTGACTATTCCAAAACCGAACATATTAACATGGTTTTACCGATCGTTGCTCCCCATGTTAACTTAGAGCGTTTATAACGACACCAAGATTTTTTTGTCATCTCGTGATATATGAATTAGTTCATTTTCAGATGTACTACTCATTCTTTTATCAAAAATTCGCCAATAAGTCCAATTACCAAAATCATGTTAAGCCTTCACCACTCAGAAAAAGCAGATTCAAACGTTATTCAAGTCGAAATCAATATCAGTTTATGACAACTGTCAATAATTGTTTTTGTGAGATGTATTTCACTAAGGAAAAAGTATCTAGCGAGTGGCTAATATTTTATTTTATTTTATTTTATTTTATTTTATTTTATTTTATTTTATTTTATTTTATTTTATTTTATTTTATTTTATTTTATTTTATTTTATTATTTATTTATTTTATTTTATTTTATTTTATTTTATTTTATTTTATTTTATTTTATTTTATTTTATTTTATTTTATTTTTGGTCTTTATTGTTAAGGGGCGGGGTTTTAGCCAAGACTGCTCTACCAACACTATCGGGCTAGTTGCATTTATAGGGGTTAGAAACCCCTCTTGTAGAATATAAACCTTTCTCTCTACGGCACTGGTAAAATTTTACTATAACGAATGTAACCCAGTACAAAATTCTGTAATCAAATAATTTACACTCCTTATGGATGCTAAATAAAAAATTTAAAACCCACCCAAAACTGACGTTACTGAACTTTCGATGCGCTTATCGTTCATAAAAAATACACAAATTTGTTAACGAGATAAATCCGCGTAAATCGACCTCTTCAGGAATATTAAAAATGACTCTAAAAACGGTCGGTTTCTATTTTGATACAATATACAATTTTTGATTAACTTATTGATGCGTTGAAATGTTCTCCAAGTGTCAGTTCTCCTTGTGAAATGACATCGCAAATCAGCTAGCGGAACGGGCTGGGGAATGCGGTCGGACCTCTTGTATTACCAGTTGAATTGGATTACTTGTTGAAAATTAATTTCGAAAGATGTTTGACGAATTTATATCTAAGATAAACCCGTGCTTCAGATTCCTCACAATTTATTAGTTTCAATTTGCTGTATTTACATGAAAAAATTACCGCAGTATGGAATGTTCAAAATTACTCTTGTATCTTATGGTTTTGCTAGCCAACAAAAGCACGAATTAATTGTCTTTAACTTTTTTACCGGTTGCTCGTATAAATAAATTAGGCGCATAACTTTAATCACTAAACTGTTTTTTTACGTAATTTGCCACTCCAAAAAATAACGCAAGGAAATCTTTTGCACCTTGGACCCCAACGCTTTCGTGGAAACAATTTATTTAAGCGCGAGAATAATAATCCAATTATGCACCGATATGAAAAAATGTTTGCTCACGTATTAATACAGTAACGCTTCACAATATTCCCAACTACACACGAAGAAATTCTTGTTTTTTCTTAATATATAAAAAATATAAATTAGTATATATAGTATAGTAACTCGTAATGCATTTAAAGTGCACCCAAGCGACGAACTTGGGCTGCTCGATCATAGCCAGTAATCTTGAGGAATTAAAACCAATTAGTTCAATTATTATTGGAATCTAATTTAATTAAATATAGGGTATAGTAATTCATCAAGTGGTAGTCGGCGGTATAGGGAACGGACTCGAGCGCCACCAGACGAAAATCTCGCGCCTGGATGAGGTCGGCGGTAACAACACAAGGACGGGTTGGTCTCTGTTGCCTCGGAGTTGGTCTCAATGAGGAGATGCTAAATCCAGGAATTCTGGGGTCAGGTCCAGCAAATGGCGGAGGTCACTTCGGCAATCCTAAAACAAAGTTACAGCCCAACCGGCAAATGTCCTAGCGGAAGAAAACAAATTGAAAAGAAATGACGGTAAAAATGCGAAAGCAAAACGGCAAACAAAACGACAAAAGGATCGGTACGGTGTACGGTTGCAAATATATTAGACAAAAGGCGTAACTTACGGGAATCAAAAAGGCAAAAGATTTACTTGCTTACGATCAGTAAAACAGGCAAAAGATATTACTTACTTACAGCACCCAAAAATTGCAAAAGATCCCTACAACATCAAGCGTTTACCTTATAAAGAAATCCGAATTTTGTGGAGATGGAACAGGAAAAATCCAACTCGTCGCGATTTTTAAATAATTACTCGGCTCCTGTTCGTGCTAAAATTCCCGAACATATGGTAATCGATTCGTTAATTTAAGCGTGCACAATTTGACACCAAAATCTCCTCATTTAATTAGTGCATGCTAATTATGCATACTCAAAATGCTGCATGGACGTTCATTAGCTCATTACAATAATTAACTGTAATTGCAAGTTTTCCGATACAGAAGCCGGTTAATTTTTGCAGGCACGCCGCCAACTGATAACGAGCAAAACAACTCGCTTCGGAATTCGGGAACTCGGGGAACTAAAACGGTCTATAAACAATTACGGCGCTGAAACCAAAAAAAAATTAATTGCCCCTCATCTTCGCCAAGACGAGAGCCTTTGGTGGTTACAAAAATAAATCCAACAGGAATAGTCGTAGGTGGACTAGTGAATTACGGTCTCTCCTTGTCTCCATGGCACCGCGGAAAGTTCTCCAAGTTACGGTTTTTTATGTAACGAAGCCCAAACCAATCGTTACTATACAGGGCGGTCCTCGCAAATGACACACTCAAATCATAAACTCCGGATGTTTCGTTACACCCAGCAATAAATTTTGTCGAACTTGTGGCGCGTTTCTCGAAGAGGCAATAGTTACGCGATCTAAAATGGTCGCGTTGCATTTCGAAAACACTCAAAATATATAATAATAATAATAATATTGCCTTTATTATTCCAAAAAAAGATTTATTCTAGTACATTAAGGGCGAAGTTCAGCACTGCGGCAATGCCACAGTCTGCTCTTCCACTTAACCCCATTACTACATGTATTACTAGAGGAGAAAAAAAAGTATTCAACTAAACAAAAAAAAACAAAAAAAAATAAAGAAGAGGTACTTACTTTAAAACCATTAGCTCTTACTACGCCAACAAATCATTATTTTGCATTATTTACCCATTGATTGCTAGGCCACCTTTCATTAACGAAAGCAACTTCGGTTTGAAGCAACTTATTGACATATCGCCAGCATATTAAATGCTTCTTGGTTAGAAATCGGCATTTTAGAAACGATTACAAATTCAAAAAACTGTACTTTTTGAATGTGAACACAGCAGAATAATTTCCAAATTACGGCTGTTATTATTTCATAATGCATCGTGTTTCATTTGTTTAATTTTCCAAGGCCTACCTAAAAGTGTAGGGTGCTTTTCCAAACAAACTTTCGCGCCATCGACAAATACCGGAAATACGTCAAAAGTAAATTTAAGATACAATTTAAGCATTTTGATTAATTAATTAATTAATTAATCTGATTTTCCCAATATTTGAGGTTAGGAACGAGATTTTGAAAAACGGTTTTCACTCGCCTCTGGGTGTTATTTGGCTACTTTTTCATAAAGAAGAAGTCATCATTCCATTTGATTTTTTTAGGATTTAGTCATGGTGTCAAAACTAGTCCCCTGGCGGAGAAGGATTCAACTAAATTAACTATATTTTGGTTGATTCTTATTGCTTTTTTGAAATAACTGAGTGTTTGTTTACGAAAATGATAGATAAACTGGTTCTCTTTAAAAATGTGAAAAAAAATTTTTAGTTTATTATGCGAAATTTAAAGAAAATTCAATTTTAAAATTTAAGATGGCCGTTACGCCCTCTGGTGGTCATTTTTAGAACTTGAAAATGTTTTCCAGCTATTCTTCATGACCGATTTATCCCATAATTTTTTTAACCCCTGTCATACGACGAACGGTTCCCGAGAGATGACTGAGGAACAGTCTTATTGGGTCACCTGGTACACTTTGATCACGTCGTCAAAACTGGTTGCATTGGTAAAACATGAAAACATCCAAGCAATAAATCTCATGTATTTTCAATGACCACGACCATGACCATGACCTAGAAGTTAAAACCTTTATTTATCTATTGATTTCGTTAAGAATAATCTTTTACAATCGTTATGACGTTAAGAACGCGTCAAAATGTTGGAAATTGTTGAAAATCTTCGGAGATCTTTTGAAACCTTCAGGTTCTTCTATAAATTTCATTGCATTCTTCTTGAAATTGCGACATTTGGAAACTTCAAAATTCCATTTAAAAATAGCTTCAACCATAAATATCAGATTGTTAAAACTATTGCGAAATTTCAAAAACTTCCCAAAATTCGAAAATTGAACCTTTTCAAAGGTGCAAAATTCTAAGGCTCCAAGATTTTAGCTTTCAAGATTTCAGAATTTCAGAATGATGAAGATTGTGGTTACAAATAAAATTTTGCGTGTGATACTGAAGGTGTTAGCTTTTGACGAGTCAAACGATTTATCATTGCAAAATGACGGACTGTTGCAAAATGTGACCCAAAATTAAGGTCACTTCGACCATTTATCAAGTTACCTACTACAAAATGTATCGCACGTGAAGACAATTACCATAATTGCCTAACGCGTCTATTTAAAAATCGTACGTGCAGTCTTTCGCATCCACGAATTTAGAATTATCATAATTGTGTTATTATCTTATTTACAGGGAAAGAGTAACAAACCAATTACGACGCCAAGCAATGGCCCTAATCGATTTCAACGGAAGTTAAATACCTGGAAGCGTACGTGTGATGGACCACAGTCTCATTATGCTCATAGGCATCTTTGTGTGGGCCCTACTACTTAAGGGTGGTGCCGGTCAAAATTCACCAAGCGACCTCGGTCTGCCGCAATACGACGCGATCGGTGCGCTCACGAGGCTCGCGAGCGTTCTGCTCGGACACTTTGTTGGACCGGTCCAGGGGGATTATAACGAGGTGTGCAAAATTTATACAGTTGGAATCGGTAAGCGCTCACCTTTTATTCTAAGTTTATGGCGTAAAAATGACAGGTTCATCTAATCATCAGCTTAACCTTTTTCAAGATCAAATTTTTTCCACGCTCCCGTTTAGTTCGTATACCATATAACAGTAAGAATTCTGGAAATAATTTTACAAAATCCGAAAGGTCACACCCAAAGACCTAGGTGAGCCCGCAAGTTCTGTCCGTCTTTGTGTGATGATTGCCGAGAAAAAATTAGAGGAGACGCAATTTTGGAACTTCAGGGTCCAGATCTATTTTGGGTCATCAGGCTATTTAGCAAAAATGTCCCCTCTAACACCTTATGTTTTTTTGGCATACCTTATTGTTACACCCTGTATACACAAATCCCACTTGCATTACGAACGCAAATATGGCGTCAATTAAAAAAAATTTAAGGGCTTTAGGGCTGCATGGGCCAAGGCTTCCTAGGTTATGGGGACAAAGATGAAATCATATTCCTTGAGGCATTTGTACTTCTCGTGTTTGCGTTCTCCTTGAATTGAACAACCCTGGCGGACACCGAGGTGAGGTCCAGGTATGATTGCGCTGGTGTTGATATTATTTCGAGGAATCTTTAGGACCTTATCACCAGGGACCCGGACCGGACCGAAAAAGAACCGAAAACCGGTCTTTTTTTCTGGACCGAAAACCGAACCGAAACCGTGATTCCTTCAGAAATGGAAACGTATTGAGAACCGGAACCCACATTACTTTTTTCGGTTTTTACGGTTCTTAACAGGTTATTGGAAGTTGAAGGACGTGCCGGCAACCACGTGCTATACTTTCTAAAAGACTAGAACCGCACATAACCGTTATGGACCGAAAAAAAATGCGCAGAACCGAACCGTTATTTCTCTTTAGAACCAGAACCGGACCGGAACCGTTATAAATATTTTCGCTTAAATATAAACAGAACCGTAACCGATATTTCATTTGTGTTCGGGTCCCTGCTTATCATTACATCACTTCCAACTCAAACAGAAGCTAACGGAACGGGACAAAGTTGAGCGTCACACGGACACTGTAGCGATTGCCCTAAGGAGAGCGCAAGCAACAAAGCACAAATTAATTAGCGGTAGCTACGCGAAATCAAATGCAGGAAAAGCAAAGCTGTACGCTCTTTATAAGTATCGCTTACTTTCTAATTTAACGGAACAGTGATGCAGATTAACCTAACGTGACTTGCAAACTGGCAAACATGCAAGGTTTACTTTATATACTCTTCCCAAAATACGAACCGGCCAGCGTATTCGGATAATGCTGTCCAAAAATTAAAACTTCTTTAAGTAATTACTGGGATCGGAATCATCCTAAAAATCGGGGTCATATTCCAAAGTTTCAACTAATTAAGCGCGCTTCTAATGGAACCACTCACGACGAGTTCGGATGCGATACCTGCAACTCATTTCAGTGGGCGAGGTCAAATTACAAAATTCGCTAATCCAATTAGCACCTATTGTTAATTGGAATGTTGAGATCAACCGGCTGGGTTGGCGATAGCCAGCTGATAAAAACGTAGACTGCATAGCCTTGACTAGTTTTCAATTAACATAGGAAACTAAAACCGGGCAATAATGACTTAACGAAGCTGAAATTCTAAAATATTAATTCGCCCTCGTCTTCTAAACCAGCGATTCTCAACCTTTTTGTAATTGCGATCCCCCTATTTTCTGGGTCTGAAGACCGCGGCCCCCTAGTACTTAATCCTGTTGTTAATGCCATTGAGGAACCCAGTTAAATGAACTACACGCTAAACTAAATATTTTTTATTTATTGTTAGCGAGTTGAATACATACAACAGTTATGTAATGCCCTTATACGTGGTGTCAATTTTCAAACAATGTAGTCGGCCATATTTTCCGAACTAAAGAAGATATTGAAAATCGCGCAAAACCGTTTCGGGGGTATCGTGGGTGAACCAGCATGACGTTATGAGTGACAATCCCCCACTCCCTTAACTCCCCCCTCTTCAAAAATCCTAAATGGCAACTCCATGATTGTGACACATCGTTGGAAAGCTACTGAAAAATGCTTTCCAGTGGTTTCAATAAAGTCAATATTCATTAAGACAATTTAACAAAAATTTAATAATTAACAAAAAAAAACTAAATGTTGATATTGAGCGATTTATGGTGTTATTGTCTTTAGCACTTCCAGATTTCGTTAAAAATCCAAACAGATTTGATTGCTTGCTCATTTTGAAACTAAATAAATTAACCACATCACACACATAAAGTTATGGGCAAATTGAAGCGATGTTCTCGACAACAAGAACTTTCGGACGCAACAAATAGTAATAGTAATAGGTAATAGTACTCTTGACGGGAACGGTCACAAACGGTGAATTAATTACAACTATTGTTTACGATTTACTGACGCAGAACTCTAGAAATTAAATCCATTATCTTTAGCTTCTATCTTTAACTCCTAGAACTAAAACGAATACTTTCGGCAAGGCACTCTTCGTAAGCGCCTTCAGATACCAAGTGCTCATATAATGGGTGGTCATGAAAATATGTAAATTTCAAGGCGGGAAAGCTGTGTTCCTGAATTCTTTAAGGGTTTTTTTATTGCTACAGAACTGACAAGGGTTATCTTTTTCAGTGCCCTCAAAGGAAACCGGTATTGATTTGAACACAAAAATACAATTACTTTACTTGCAGTAATTTACAGTAGGGAATTTCCCGTGCGACTCGAGTACGGAAGATTCTGCTGGCATGTCTCTTAAAGTTTCACACCAAAAATCAAAACTCTTGGACCTCGTAAATGAATGCTGCGCGGCTTCTTTTGAAATTTCACTTGATGGCAAAAATTTCGCAATCCGTCGGGACACGAAAATGGAATTGGAAATAAGTCTGCGCACAATAGGTTTTGATTCTCTCGTTCAAAGCTTCACCTACACCCTTTGAAATAGTGAGTAGTTTCACGTAATTTTGTCCTCGCATGGAGGTCACCTAAAGGAAAAATTCATGGCGCGCGCCTCAGATAGGCGGATTAACTTACCTTAGCTCCCTGGCTGAACTGAATGTTTGTCTTGTTCTTCAACGCGCCGCGATCGGTGTTGAGTTTAATTTTCTGAGGGCTTGAACTTAATGTCTTTTCACCAATAAAAACCACTCCGCCAAAGCTTTGAATATAATATTCAAAGGCCAAAGTCAATCTTCCATTGCACTTTTTCTGATTCGCGATACGCGCTCTGATATGTATTCTCTCGCGGCTTCATGCGTAATATCCCCCGGCTGTTCTCAGAACGATCCAAGTTCTACCAATTTTATTTCACGAAACTACGCACGTTTTTGATTTTTAAAAATTTCAATCTCAAAATTAAAAAAAAATTTGAAAAACGTTTCGATCTTACGCTTCGTATTAGGGCTGCCTCGTTAGTTTTACAGTGCGATTCAGTAAAAAGGCCACTTTGTGTGCGTAACACCTTTATAGCTTAATCATCTCTTTTCCAGCCGGAAGTGAAATAAAAGTCAGTCTACGTCCTCACAGCACCTGCACCTACTGCTGTAACTTAATCAGTCCCCATCGTCGCATCGCCCTCCATCTGCACCGAAAGAATCACGAGACAATAAAGATCGATATGAAACGCAAACGCGGCCGCCTCAAAGCATACGGCATCAACAGCAACATCACAACCATGCTGTACATTCACGGATTCACAGAGTACGCAATTGGCGTCAGCGCTCGAGGGGTGTGCGATGGTATTTCTACCTCTTGATTCGATTCGTACCGTATTATTTAACACTTCAATTTACAGCTTACCTGTCACGAGATGAGGACTACAACGTACTCTCCCTGGATTGGTCGTCTTTGGCGGTCTTTCCATGGTACAGCGCAGCGGCGAACAACACGCGAATTGTCGGTAGAGTCCTGGCGAAATTTTTGAAGTTTTACGACGCTAGCGGCGAACTGCCGCTCGAAAACGTGCATGTGGTCGGTTTCAGTTTGGGGAGCCACGTCGCCGGATTCGCGAGTCGAATTTTGAACGGGCGAATGGGAAGGATTACGGCACTGGATCCTGCCTTTCCCGAGTTTCCGCTCGATGGTAAGCTAATGACGTCCGTGTCCTGCCGCCTTCAAAAAGCTCTATAAGTTTCAAGTTCATATGTAACGTTCTGGGCTTGAGACTTGGAGCCTTTTGGAATGAAGGGTTTTGCACAGTTTCAATAACGTTGCAGATAAGTCGCAGATCATCACGAAAGAGGACGCGGGCTACGTCGACGTCATCCACACTGACAGTGGAGGGTATGGAATTCCAATTTCGATCGGGCACAGCGACTTTTATCCGAACGGCGGACGATTTATGCAACCGGGATGCACGGCGTCGCAGTTGGCCGAGGAGGGTAATATCCTTAGCATTGGTAAGTTGAAGCTGCCGGTCCCTCAGCTCTTGTCACGTACATTTCCAGGTAGCAGAGCTGTAATGGCCGTATTTTTGCAGTACTATGCAGCCATTTTCACGCGTGGAGGTTCTACGCGGAATCTGTGATGAATCCTACCGCATTTCCGGCGACCCGGTGCGGTATCTCCGAAAATGGACGCTTGAATAGCTGCCCGTTCACTGTTCATGGGTATATGGGATTCGGCGCCAACAAAAGGTGGTAATCTACACACTGTCCAGGTTACTTATAGTATTTTTTTCTTGCAGTGTTGTGGGAAACTTTTATCTTACGACCAACAATAAATTTCCTTATGGCAAAAGTGCCGAGAGTCAAATGTTTCAAAATGGAACTGTACGATTAGTTTTGTAAAGAATAAATTTTGTTATTCTGCGTTTATTTGTTCTGAGTCCGATTAACATAAAACCTTGCACCAGGAAAATTTGTGTTCCGACCGATCCGAGAGACAAGTCTTTTTTCAATCGACCGTGGAGGCAAAAATACGGCCTTTCCATTTTTTAAATCATTTTATCGACTGTACCTACTCGTGTAATCGCAACATTTTTACTGTTTCGGACAATCTGTCCGAAATGTACGGTGTCTCCAAGGAAGTTTTTGAGCTTTATGTACGTCGACTAAAAATTCCCCTTGAGTCGCCCAACCTTGGAAAACTGGATCACCCACTATTTAGGATGCAAGGAATGGAACAGAAATTTGCTGACGTTAACTCCTAGCTCGTAGCGGAGAGGTTACACTGCCTCCAAAATTCCAAGAAATGTTCGATGGGGCTAATAGGATCCATCGGCCATCTTTAATAATTAGGCGCGTGTAAAGGTCATTAACCCACCAGAATTTCAAAATTACAGAGTTCATGTTTCTCACACCGCCGCGTCGTTGCATCGCTATAAATAATCTGATTCAGTTGTTTTGACCACGGAAAAGACGTTAAGATTGTGTTATCGCTCCTCATCACCCGTCAGACTCTCCACTAACCTTTCCCATGCGATTTATGCGACTCATTCGGTAGCCATTGATTTACAAAACGTAGAGTGCCGAATTTATTAAGAATCCATTGATCTTTAATTGCGACCCTGTAGAATACTTCCCGGGAAACAAGATTGGACGATCCTTTTTGCGGGACTTATCACAACAATCCTGACTGCTGAACGTATTGGACGAGAACGTTGCACCGGGGAGTCTGTGCACGATGATCTTATGATTGTTGCTGGAAGATGTATATTCAATCTTTCTTCTCCCGCGGTTCTACAGAGTGAGCAACAAAGATTGAAGCGTGCCGCTTCAGCTAAATTGGCAATGTGCCGCTCATAGATATGTGATTTGATACAAGATACGAAATACGAATAGACGCAGTCACTGTGCAAGCGCAGAACGTCATTTTCGTATACAATCATCAAGAAGGTGTTTTGATATTAATAGGAACAAGCGGTGATGACGCACGCTTCAATCATTGTTGCTCACACTGTACTTTCTCCCCCAAAACTTGTACTTCTCCTACAACTTACAACATAATCCCATCGAACTTCATACCAGGACTGTGTGAGGTATAGAACACTTCCAAGGGAAACAAGATAGAATGGTCCTTTATGAGCACAAATATCGGCTGAAAGTGTTGGGCGAGAACGTAGCACCCGGTGATTGGGTGTAACCCACAAACTGCATAAGGTTAGCAATCTGTTGTTTGTGTATATCTGTGGCCATGGGCCATGGGGCTCAGTAAGTGGGAAAGTTTTCACTTTAAACTTGAATTGCGTAGCCTCACGGAGCTGTTCTGGGTGCGACGTTGCACGGTTTGTTTATTTGGAAAACTAGCGGCTTGTTTGTGATCGACGCCTAGGATAATCCGTACGAGAATCCAAGCATTTGGTGGATGTTTTCGGAATTCCACATTACATCGCCCTCAAAGTTACGTGAATTTAAAGAAGTGATCTGCAGGAGTGGTTTCTTCACAACGGAAAACCCAGAATAGGAGATAATTACATCAGGAAAGAACGAAAAGGTATCTTGGATTAAAGTGCGTATTACGGAATTTATTCAATTAATGATTTGAATTTGTTTATTTAAACATAGTCACATTGTTTACTAGGATAGGTTAAATTATCTGGCCAGTAGATTTAGATCAGGTTCTTGATTTTTTGATTTTTTGTGCCTCTAGCTATCTGTTTGAACATTATATCATAAGTAGGGAGCAGATTAAATCACAGTACACCAGTTTGGATAGTACAAGTGCCGAACATAAACAAAATAGAGTTTATCTGTTTAGCGTGTGTGGTGAGCTTTCGCCGTCGAGCTCCGGGGTTCTATTCTACCTATGCCGAGGGGAGCCCGATCAGGCAGCACTTAGACACCCCAAAGACCCATTGTGTCTACCCCCTTTCTTTTGAAATTAGGTTCAGATCCCGTTCCTCTCCTCCGGTGATCTTCCTAATCTGGCTTCCATTCAGTTTTAGAAGCTTAGAAGACCCAAACTTGCCAAGGGGCGCTGGTCTGCTCGAGTCCGGTTGCTTGTTGTCACTGACCCTGGAACTGGATTGATCATCCAGTCTTTAATCCTGGTCTTGGCAACGGAGGGAGCAATTCCTAGGGTAGGCCGGACGAAGACTCCACCACTACCTTTACGAGCCAGCTCGTCCGTTCTTTCATTGCCCCTTATTCCGCAGTGAGCTCTCGCTCGAACACTCATGCCTGTCCCCCTTTCTTTTAGGGACCCGTCTGTAAACCACATGAGTCCCGCAGGTTTAAGAAACGGGCAATCGGAGACCACATTTTTTCGTGCGAGGAAGGGATCGGATGCGAGGGCTTCCGCCCAGCTCCGCCCGTGCTCAAGGCTAGCTCGATCCTTCCACTCGCCCCAATCGTTTAACCGTATGGAAGCCTTCCGAGCCTCTGTCTCAACAGTTAAGTGAAAGTCTCTAGTCCCATGGCCAAAACTGGCGTGGTTTTCATAGCTCCAGTAACTCCCAGACAGGCGACTCTCTCTCAATGTGCCTTTTCCAGCTCAAGCGGGAGTACGTGATGACTCCTAATTATTTCACTGGCCTAGGCAGGCCCAGTTGACGTCGTCAAAGAGTGAGCCCATCAAGGTCCGCTGGAGATGGAATAACTTATGTTTTTTCCGGGTTGACGGGAAGGCCATGGCTACTGTACCACCTATCCACCTGTTCAAGAGCCTTCTGCATGAGCTCTTTCACGGTGTTTGGAAACGTCCGCGTAGAGTGCTTAGGAGCCCGCATAGTACAAGGAGAGACAACACCTCACCCTGCGGATGTCCTCTAATAACCGATGAATTCACCTCCGTCCTCCCGACACTGCGTAGAGCCGTCTCCGTGGACAGTACTCCATTCCTTGTGTATGCATCCACCAGCTTCTCCACCAAGAAACGATGACTAATCCTTCGCCATCAAATATTTGACACGACCCGCGGGCTTAGGTAGGTACACAACTCTCACCTTTCTCCAGGGTGTATACCTTAATGACAGGGAGGTTCTAAAGAGTCGCCAGGCCATTCTGTAGAAGATCCGGGAATATCCCGCACATTGTCCCGCACGGTTCTGCACTCTTAAATGGGCTGACCGCCCATCTGAGAGATCCATCGGCAACCACCCGGGCAGCTACCTTCCAGTCTATTGGCCGAGCAGACTCTGTCTCTACGAAGCTTCCAGGGAAGGAGACAGTACTGTCACGCTATAAAACAGTGATAGTCATAACGTGCCTAAATGCCAAATGAAGTTGTAACACGAATGAGGCTCCCTCTTGTGGTTGGCTGTGATGCAAACGCACGCCATGTTGTGTGGGGCAGCACGGACACGAACTCGAGGAGCGACCACCTTCTGGAGTACTTGCAAACAACTGATTTGAACGTATTAAATCAGGGAGCAGTCCCTACCTTCGTCACAGCGCGGAGGCAGGAGGTCATTGATCTGACGCTGGGCTCCTTTTCAATAGCTCACATGATCACGAATTGGAGAGTGTCTGATGAGCCGTCGCTTTCGGACCACAGGCGCATTCTTTTCCAACTGAACCTGGCATTTCACTGCGGGCCCTGTAGGTTTCGGAAACCCCGATCCGCTGATTGGGACTGCTATGTGGCAAAACTGTCGGACCGGTTGGATAGACTACCTTTGCTCTGTCGGAAAGCAGGGCAGGTGGAAGAGGCGGCCGCATTAATAAGCGACGCCATAACAGCGTCCTATGAGGACAGCTGTAAACTGCGTACCTTTCGAGGAAAGAAGAGAACACCTTGGGCGAACTTGGGCGGACTGGAAAGATCTTAAGATCTCCCGGCGCAGCTATAAGGACCATATTCGGAGGTCGAACGAGGATCTTGGAGGACCTTCTGTGGTAACATGGAAGGTCTTCCTGAAGTTCAAAATCTTCGTAAGATCCTTTTGCAGGACCCGGGGCAAAAAGTGAGGCTTCCATGCGGCAGATATACGTCTACAGCGGGTGAGGCTCCCACATGTCTCCTGGAAACACACTTTTCAGGCTTTGGGGACTACTTAACTTCGGATCCATCAAATGGAGCTACTCGGGTCGGTGTAAGGCCGATCGACTGGAAAGTAGCTTTTCGGGTGGTTACCGAGGGAATCTCTGAGATGGGCGGTCAACACGTTCAGCCCATTTAAGAGTGCAGGACCGCACGGGATATTCCCGGCTCTTCTACAGAAGGGCTTGGAGCCGCTGCTCCTACACTTGTTGCATCTCTTCAGAGCCTCTCTGGCTTTAGGGTATATCCCCGAAAGCTGGAAGAAGGTAAGATTTGTGTACCTACCTAAGCCGGGTCGTGCTAAATATGACGTGGCGAAGGACTATAGGCCCATCAGCATATCATCGTTTCTTCTAAAAACGGTGGAGAAGCTGGTGGATGCATACATAAGGAATGGCGTACTGGTAGTAGACCACTACATCCGTTCCAACATGGTTACAGGGCTGGTATGTCCACGGAGACGGCTCTACACAGCCTGGTGTGCAGGCTGGAAAAGGGAATGTCTTCCGGGGGGATAGCTCTGGGAGCGTTTTTAGATATCGAGGGTGCGTTTAACAACACCACGTTCGATTCGATTAGTGAGGCTGCTGAGAGCTTTGGTATTGATGGGTCGATCGTAAGATGGATCCGAGCCATGCTCGAAAGCAGAGTCATTATATCCTCAATTGGGATGACGGAGAAGAGCTCATCGGTTACTAGAGGATGTCCGCAGGGTGCTGTAGTGCCTCGTACTAGACGGGCTCCTCCGCACCTTGAACGAGGGGGGAGCGTATACACAGGGATATGCGGACGATCTCGCGATCGTCATAACTGGGAAGTTTGCAAACACCGTGAAGGAGCTCATGCAGGGGGCTCTTGAATTGGTGGATAGGTGGTGCAGTAGCCATGGTCTTTCCGTTAACCCGGAAAAGACCGAGGTTGTTTCATTTACGAATAGAAGGAGAGCGGATCTTGCTGGGCTCGCTCTTCCAGGACGTCAACTGGCTCTGACCAGGTCAGTGAAATACCTGGGAGTCATCATTGACTCCCGCCTGACCTGGAAAGGGCACATTGAGCGCATAACCAAAAATGCCACTGCATGTCTACGTAGAAGGGCTTTTGGTTGTACATGGGGCTTGAACCCTCGACTGGTACACTGCCGTTACACTGCAGTGATAAGGCCAATTATACTGTATGGTGGCCTACCATTCGCAGGGCAACCTACAGGAAGCAGCTACGGAAGGTCTAGCGACTCTCCAGTCTGGGAGTCATTGGAGCCCTAAAAACCACGCCAACCTTAGCCATGGAGGCACTTCTGGGACTAGAGCCTTTACACTTAGCTGTGGAGGCAGAGGCTCGGAAAGCTTCCATACGACTAAACGATTGGAACGAGTGGAAGGATCGAGGCAGCCTTGGGCACGGGCGGATCTGGGAGGAAACCCTCAGAACCGATCCCCTCCTCGCAAGAAGGGATGTGCTATCTTGCTAAGACCAAAGCGTTATAAATCATTCTCCCGGATAGGGAGCAGTTGTTGAACTCGGATTGCCCGTTCCTCAAACCTGAGGGGCTCGTGTGCTTTACAGACGGGTCCCTAACAGAAAGGGGAACGGGTATGGGTATATATGGTGATCGACCGAGAGCTAGCGTTAGCGTCTCCCTTGGTCAGCATAGCACCGTGTTTCAGGCAGAGGTGTTAGCCATCATGACCTGTGCACAGGAAAACCTCCGTAGAGGTTACCGTAATAAGCGTATATACATATGCAGCGATAGTTAAGCGGCGTTGAGGGCCCTGTCGATAGACAGGTTCCGATCGGCTACGGCGCTTGATTGCAGGCGAACCCTAGATAGATTAGGTGAGTCTAATAGGGTAGGCTTGATTTGGGTGCCAGTGCACTACGGAATAGGGGGCAACGAAAGGGCGGACGAGCTGGCTCGCGAAGGCAGTGGTGGGGTCTTCGTCGGGCCCGAGCGTACCCTAGGGATTGCTCCCTCCGTTGTTAGGGCCAGGATTAAAGATTGGTTAACTAGTCAATTCCAGGCTCAGTGGCAACAAGTAACCGGACTCCGACAGTCCAAGGCCTTTCTAACAGGGCCCCTTGGCAAATATGGGTCTTCTAAGCTTCGAAAACCGAATAAAAGTCAGATTACGAAGATCACCGGTGTCCTTACGGGGCACTGGATGGTCAACTATCACCTGCATAATATTGGGTCCGCGGAGGAGTCCACGTGCAGGTTCTGTGGCGAAGCAAATGAAACTACCGAGCATGTATCTTTCACTGTAACGCTTTGATCAGGGACAGATATCAACTCCTTGGAGACAGATACCTGGAACCGGGGAGGGTGAAGCAACTTAAGCTAAACAGGGTCCTATCCTTCATTGAGAGGAACGGGCTCTGAACTCAGTTGCGAAGAAAGGGGATAGGCACAATGGGCCTCGGGTGTGTCTAAGTGCTGCCCGGTCGGGCTCCCCTGCGAATAGAATAGAAATAGAACACGAATGAGAGTAGGTAATCCGACGCTATGTGTAAACAATATAGGACCTGACGCACCTACGCTACCGTACAGGTTGTGTTCCTACGCTATGATTGAACAGTAGGGCCATTTTTGTAGTAGGGTATATAACTGTCAGCCGAATTTTCCCATCGCAGTTAGAGGGCGTGTTGCCTAGATAGGAAATCGAACATTACACCAAGATCCTTGATTACATGCTTAAGGATAGCAGAATTTATTAAATAATTATAAGGTAATGGTTTTCTGCTGAAAGAGAAGGTTGTTTAATTCATTCGAGAACCGAGCATGTCATTTTGAAAAGAGATGCAATCCTCTAACATAGTTATTTCAGTATAAAAATGTTTAGACCATCAGCGAAAGCTGAGTGGTAACATGCTAATGAGTCGGAGATGTTATTACTGAATAATAAGAAAAAGAGTGGCCCAATGTTCGATCCTTGTGGAACTCCTGAACTGGCTCAAAAGGCTTCAAATTTGAAACCATCACATGTGACAAGTTGGTATCGATTTGTTAGACAGGAGGAAAACGGATAAATTATAAAAATAGAGGATCCAAGTGGTTAGGGTAAACAGCGGCAACTTATTGCACAAAAATCAGAGAAGGATGGCAAGTGCATCAGTGTAGACCTCTTCTTTATAAAGTCATGTTGATTTGAAGCTGTGCAGAACAATATCTAAACTTCGGACTTTGGTTTACAATATCATTACAAGAATGGTGGGTCAAGTTGACTTTAAGCACCTTATCTGTTACTCTTTGACCTCGTGCAAACAAACGTGCATTTTAACAACAATGAATCTGTGATAAATTGACATTGTAATTGCGGAAATCATGTCTCTTGCCACTGAAGTACAGTTATCACTCTCAGTAAAATATCCTACAAATCTGGTAGGGCTAATCACTGGTGACAAGTGGTTGAACAGTAAACGCGAAAGTGATGGAGCGGAAGGATTGTGGAGGATTCACGATGGTCTGTATGACGTCAGTGACTTTATTTCATCGCACCCCGGCGGACCGAGCTGGTTGGAAATGACAAAGGTACAAATTTGGCGCATTTGCCGATTAGTATGTTTACGTTTTCAGGGTACCGACATTACGGAAGCGTTCGAAGCTCACCACGTAAACCTCGTAGCAGAGAAAACTCTGCAAAAGTACTACGTGCGTAAAGCTCTCGCGCCTCGAAATTCGCCCTTTACCTTCGAAGAGGACGGTTTCTATCGCACCCTGAAAAGGAATATCCGACCGATTTTAAAAACCGTTCCAAAAAGTACGATAAGGGCTACCGACTTGGTAATTGACGCATTGGTGGTTGGAACGTTCCTCACAGCAATTTGTGCCTCAAAATTTATGAGCTTGGCCTTCGCATGCGTTTGTGCCTTTTTACTGACATTTACAACAATTGCCGCCCATAACTACTTCCACAAACGGGATAATTTCCGGATGTACTACTTCAACTTATGCCTGATGGACTTCAGGTTTTCCTTCTAGCTTAGTGTACACCCTTTATTCTTTCATTTTAGGGGATGGAGAATCTCTCACGCTTTAAGCCATCACCTCTTCCCCAACACCATTTATGATTTAGAGATGATCACTTGGGAAACGTTAGTACCATATTTCCCCGTGAAGAAGTCCTTCGCTTTTAAATGCAAGGCATGCGTGACGGCTGTCATACTTTGGGTCACTGTCTATTTTATTTCCTACGCATTCAAGTAAGTACTGCCGCTACTAGTATGCCCACAATGCACGCTACTTTTAGGGTGTATACCATTATCAAAACACAAAAGATGTATCTTTCGGATTTGATACCGTTCACTCTTCCACTGGCTATGTACCTCATCAACACAGCTAACCCCTTGGCCGCTGTAAAGATGTGGCTGCTTATTGTTACTGTCGCAAGCTTTATCTTTGGCGTAATTGGATTTAGTGCCGCGCATCATCATCCCGATGCTTTCCACGAAGGCGACGCACCCAGGTACGCCTGCTTCAGACACTAGTCTCCTTATACCGTGTGTCCCAGGGAGAACGCACCATAGGAAAGCAGAATTATTTTTCGCAAAGGATCCACGAGGCCTTTGATATGCATTTGAAGCTATCGTACAACGTACGTTATTGCGCTTGCCTGATGCCGGAAAGAGATTGGCGTGGTACGTTGAACGCTAATTTCAAAGGCCTCGTGGATCCTTCGTGAAAAAATACATTGTCGTTTCCCTATGGTGCGCTCGACCTAGGACAGACTGTATATAAGAAGTAATTACAGAGCGAAGAAATTGGATTGGGCGATTCATCAGTTGGACACGACCTACGATCGCTACAAAGTAACCGGCAATTCGTTCTTGGTACTGACAACGTTCGGAGATCACGCACTCCACCATATATTTCCGACCCTCGACCACGGTGCGCTGAAGTACCTGTATCCGGTTTTTGAGAAGACCATGAAGGAATTTGGTCTCGGTCACCAAATGAGATCGCAGACGGAAATGTTCATTGGCCAGTTTCGACAGTTGGCCAGAGACACGCCGCATGTTTTGCCAGCTGGCTCGAGGAATTAAAAATACTGAAGTAATTATAGTGGTTGATAGTAAATTATAAAAATGCTGTACAATTTAGGGGTTTTCAGATGTTACCAATAACTGGTGCCTTAAAAAATAAGTTATATATAAGATCCGTTCACTTTTAAAAAATGATTTGATCCCATTTGAGGGTCCAATAACAATTTTTATACATTTTTATTTTGATTCATTTGGCAGGATCGTTCGTTTTTCCTCTTCAAAGGAGAAAGTAGCACCGCTTTTTCGTCATTTCTTGTCATTTTGTGTCTCGTGCTACGTTTATGTCAGAGAAGACCTTTTTTGAATTTGAACTGCAATGTTTTCTCAAACGGTCAGCTAATTTGCCGAAAACTGGAGCTGAATGGTCACAACCAATCGCATATGATTCTAAAGCAATGGTAGACTGGATAAGTATCTAAAATCCCCCCTTCCTGTACGTAATTTGGATTCGGCGAGAATAAAGCTCGACGAACGGCCGGTAGTGTTTTACTTGCTACAGTCGATGCCACGTTCCTATGGTCAGCTAGTGACGGTGCTCGAAACGATATCGGACGATCAGTGCACCAACAATGACCCGACCGCATTCGCCGGAATAGGGAAAAGGAACAACAAGGAAGAAGAAGGTTAGGTGCTACATTTGCGGAAAAAATGGACACAAGCCGACGGAATGCCCACATAGAGGACACGAAAAAAATGTAAACAGAGGAAAGGCGAATATCAGAGAAAAAGAAGTAGTGTTCTTGAGTCAGTCGGTGACCGTGGCAAGCGATTCACAAAAGAACACCGTTTGGTGGATTCTCGATTCGGGCGCATCGGATCATATGGTTGGTTCGATTGATTGGTTTCAAAACGTGAAGAAATTGGACAAGCCAATGCTGATGATCAAAGTAGCTTCTGGACAGACGCTTGAGAGCAAGTATTGTGGCGCTGTAGACATAATGTCAAAGGTCGGAAATACACGATTGAGTCAGTAGGGAAGTAAGGCCTATCCGAGACCACTTTCTCCTTGAGTTCAGCGCATGCGCCTATTCTAAGGCATTTGAACTACTGCGCATGCACCAAGTGAATGTCACTGAAGGGTATCGTGGTTGTTATTGAAATCGGTTGTGATCGTTGAGTAGGGGAAACGTTCCTTTTGATTGGTTATCATCAATGTCACTAAAGATCAAACGAAGAGGAAATTCTGGCTTCCTATTCGTTGACTACCGATCGTAGCTCACTTTGCAATTTCCATATGCGCATTAGTGGTTAAAGTCGGTGTATTGCTCTCTCAGTTCAAAGAACATTTCGAGGTTGAGAACAAACGGTGTATTATCTTAGGGTTGAAGGTGACCTTTTCGTGCTCAAGGTCAAATGTGTTGCATATTATATTTATCATATTTATGATGTCTTGTGTATTTTGCATTTATGAACTTGTTTAATTGCCTTTGATTTGATTATCTGATTTTTATCATACAATTTGAGATGTTTTATTTATGTATATTTTCTCTTGCATTTTATTGCTGTAGGTGGTTTATTTCATGAATTTGTGTGGCCTATGCCGGGGTTTTTGTCCCGTAGAAGGTTTCCCTGGAATGGTCTTGTTGTGTGCGTAATATATTTATTTGTTCTTGCCATTTCTTACGCACAAAAGTTCTGTCTTTTATTTAACTCCCTTCCCGATTATTTCTCACTTCCCAACACATATAAGAACTGATTACACAACGTAGGAGTTAATTCGTGCCACCTCTATCGAGCCGACTGCCATCCAAATTCAAAAGCGCCGCGAAACGTCCATCGTTTTAACTTGAAGGTAGATGGCTCTGCTTGTAGATTTTTTCCCAGAGTTGCCATGGGTAAGTATAGGGTAAGTCAACGTTTTCAGTGTCGGCTTGGTAGACCCCTAGGAACATTACAAACTTATTCAAATTATTGATCCTAGAGGTGATATAGTACAATATTCTCCGAAGTTTAGCAGATGATATCTGTAAACTGCATGTAAGTCACTTTTTCACATTACAAGTGCATAATTGACGACCTAGAATAAAAATAATTTTTCATTAAAAATAAGTGTCTAAGTAAGTTCCCTAAAAGAGGCATTCTGTGCATTGCAATTAAGGTTTGAAATTCACACATGACTGTGACAAAACGAATATTCCCCGTACATCCAGGGAATGTTGTAACAGAATATTCAATACCGAAAAATTAATGAATGTATTAATAGTGTGTTCTTAGTATATTCATTGCTGAATATTCTAAGAATATCCATTGTTGCTTGGGAAGCGGATATCGAGTCGAATGAAAACAAGAACCCTCTGAACATCCGTAGGAGCGAAAGGGTTCGTCATCCGCCATTGAGGCTGAGCAAGTACTCCTGTGTTGCTTTGCGAAGGGGCAAGTGTTGCGTAAGGACTTGTATCCTAGGCGATAGAGCCTAAAGAAAGAGAAAGCGTGATTTCTGCCCAGTGCACTGAATGTCGACGAGGAGAGATTAAAAAAATCGCGGGCAAACTTCCCTTAATCGGAGGGGGGGCTTTAGGGGCGTCCGTCCCCCTATGGTAGGCCAAAGTTTCCAAAGAGAGTCATAGTTACTCCCGCCAGGCGAGTTGTAGCGTGGATGAAGGCATCCACACAAGTACAGGGAAGGTGTAAGGCGCGTCTGACGGGGACACGCACGAGGCGATCCGCACTCTTCAACTCCCTACTTTGGTACACGCCAGATCACTTTGTATCTCTGGAATCAGATAGTGCTTAATGTGAACCAGCTGGTTTTAGTCTGACCTTTCCTATTCTCACCAATCCCTCCTTCCACGAAGCTTTCTGGATTTCAGATTTCTGGCCCAGCCCTGCCTTGGTCAGAATACTTGCCCCTCCCCTCCTCCCATGTACTTGAACAGCTCGCAAAATGGACCCTACATTTCCTAGGACGGAATTAATGGGGATTTCGAACATGTGCACATAGCAAGTTTACCTTTAACTGGTAGAACTGAAATTGTAAGGTAGGTTTTTAATTGTTAATTAACAAATGAGTAACAATTTTATTTTCATAAGATGATTCCAAATAAATACAGGATGATTAAAATTATTTGCTCGTATTATTAGTCTTACGCTATTATCCTTTACAATTATTACTCACGTCAGTACCCTTGTAATTTCAAACACCCTGTACAAGTTTATTACATGTAATTTGACAACGCGACTATTACGTATACAAAACTAAACTCCTATGATACAGGGCCGCATAACCAGCATTAAAATATATGTCTAAATATTCACCTACGATTATTTGATTTTTATTTATTGCCAATAATTTATGACCACCCTGTCTACTGACGTCTAAAAGGAAAAACAACAGTTTTGCTCCACTTCGTCTTAAACGGGCGAAGTAAGTCGATATGTTAGCTATTTTGATTTCGAATCCGTACAGGGTGGTGCGATTGAACGGGCCACGTTAGAACGTCATTAGAATGAGCGCTTACAACACGAACTAGAAAAAACAATTGACCTAAAACATTGACTAGATTTAACCCAGGAAGATTATGTTCTTTTCGTCTATTAGTCTCCCTCTATTCTAAACATATAATTGTACCGTCGAAAATTTGATTACAGGTTGTTCTCAGAAACTTCTAGCAGACCCAGGAGGTAGGTAGTCATCTTTAGGTTTAAGTCGCTTTGGCATTTACTTGACCTTTTTGTCTGCTTTCAAATCGTCAAGGGAGAAACGTATCTTTCTCTGCTTCTCTTTCAGTTCCATTTGTTTTTCGGCGAGTTCGTTCTTTTTGTTATCGTTCCTCTCTTCGCTTTTACTTCTTTCTTTCCATCTCCTCTCCGTCCACCACTTCCTCTCCTTGTCCTTGCAATCGTAGTCGGATTTTTCCTCCTCGTCGTCTTCTTGCGGTAGTTTCTCGTATTTGTAATCTCTCTTTTTTCCCAGTATTGGAACGGTTTCGAGCTGGGTCACGATTTTTTGAGCGCATCTGGAAGAAACAGTAATTAGTCAATATCTAGGTGTAAGACGTTACAGTGAGATGCTGTAACAGTACAGAAAGTTTACCTGATTCGAGTTGAAGGTGGTGCGCTGCTATGACACGGGCTGCCAGAATAGGGCGACTCCTTTATCGGCGGAAGTCTATTGATATTGCTTCGTTCCGGATGGCAGTACTCCTGAAGCTTGATTTTCATGGCGTGCTGCTGGGATCGTCTCAGCGCGCCCGTTATGGGCTGCCTCGGGTACGCGCCCAAACAGTGACCGCCGCAGCACGAACCGCTACTATCGGAAGCACACGAACTGGACGATACCGATGAACCTCCACTGCTTACGCTGTACAAGCTGTCGGACTGAGGAACGGAAGATGAACGCGAATTGACTGAGTATCCGCTCGCTGAGGTTGGAAGAATGGGACCGGTCTGCGAAGAAAAGTCGGATTAATCGCTGGTGGCGTCGCCGTCGTGTGTGCGTACCTTAAGCCTAAGAATTTTCGCGCGACAGATAACGCATCGCAACGGTAGGAGACGCTGAGAGACCGCGATTTGAATTGTTTTAACGAAGCATTTTCGACAGACCACCTGGTGACCGCAGGGTGCAGTTTGCATCGTCGCCTTGGCGTTGATGCAAATCACGCATTCTTCCTCGGGGCATGTCGCGAGCTCTGGTTCGCTTTCTTCTAGTTTATTTAGGAGCTTGTCCTGAAACAAATTACCAAATTTCAAATACTTTATGAGATGGTAATGTCTGTCTGTACATCCACTCCAATTTTATTCTATTAAAATTTTTCCACGTCCGAAACCCTGGTCAAAAGTTATGGTCCTTTGCCAAATAAATTGGATGAACTGTTCCAAATTCGAGTGTAGAATCGTTCACTACTTCCGGAGACAGAACGCCATTGTGGCAGGACAAGTTGCACGCCTGCCGCATAATAAATGACTTGGTGCAACTGCACAACCGTGACCTGCACTCGTTTTCATTGCGACGAGAAAAAAATGTAACATCGACATTGCGCGTAAGGTTATATATCGTAATTGTAGCTGTTCCTTGACATTTTACGAGTATAAAAGACTTGTTGCACATCCCATTGTAACCGGCCCAATAAAGTAATCGCACTAAAGATGGTACCATCCTTGAACTATTGAATGGACTGCATGACGATCGGTTCTGCGTACCTACTAATCATCAATCGATGTATTTCGGAAACTTGAATTCAATCGCAATTTTGTAAAAAGAAAATTTATAAACAGTATTTCCAGTGTTTGTTCACCTGTTTCGTTGGAGTAACTGACGTAACGCTGTGTCATGTAAAAAGTTAGGTGGTAAAAAAACAAAACAAGTTAAAAAGTAATCATAAACGATTTACAAAAAGCGCATTTCCACTTGCATTCATTTCCCATTTGTAAGATGCAACTTTTGTTAAAATCGTAAAAATCCGGCCACAAATATGAAAGATAGCGTTGCACTTCAATTTCAGTTTATGAGAAGAATTTCATTTCAATGCTTTTCTAAATAAGAAAGTTGGAACTGCGCATGCGCAAACCTAAATTTTAAAACTAATGTTAGATTTTTCTTTGTTCCAAGCGCCTAAGTATCAAATTTCACTTAAATAGTTCCATAGATAAAAAAGTTGGCACTGCGCATGCGCAAAATAAAATTTTGAAACTGGCACTAGATTTTCCTTTATTCCAAGTGCCTATGTATCACATTTCATTTAAATTCTTCCATAAATAAAAAAGTTGGCACTGCGCATGCGCAAAACCAAATTTTTAAATTGGCGTTTGATTTTCCTTTATTCCAAGTGCCTATGTATCAAATTTCATTCAAATACTTTTATAAGTAAAAAAGTTTGCAATTCGGTTTATAAATGGTCGAGGTGCGAAAAGGGCACTGTGAATTTTGGCGTTGCGTATTATATGGCTAAAGCTATGCCCATATTGAATTTCATGCAATTCAGTTCATAACTAACGGAGATGTAAAAGTGATCGAACATTTCTAAATAAAGTTATCGTTCACACGGACAGATAGATGGACAGACAGACAAAGGAACAGACGGACAGACCAACAGGCAGACGACAAATAGCAATGCAAAATTATAAACGATCTCTAGGATCGTTAATAAACGGCAAAAGTGTAAAATTATGGAACATGTAAAAAACGGTTTTTGTTTTTTTTACAATAACTTTTTTTGTAAGCGGTACAGAAAAAATTCCTTCCTTGGTACAAGACTCGACACCATAACGAACCAAATAGCGAAAAAAGTAGAACAATAGCTCTTAAGATAAAAAACTAGTAGCGTCGCAAAGTTAGCGGGCGGACGGACGGACGGACGGACGGACGGACAAAGTGGCCACAATAGCGCATTTTTTTTTATTTTTGTGGAAATGCGCTAAAAAGTTGGCACTGCGCATGCGCAAAACCAAATTTTGAAATTGGTGTTAGATCTTCATTTATTCCAAGTGCCTATGTATCAAATTTCATTCAAATACTTTATAAATAAAAAAGTTTGCAATTCGGTTTATAAATGGTCGAGATGCGAAAAGGGCACTGTGAATTTTGAATCTATTCGACTCAACTTTTGGCATTGCGTATTATATGGCTAAAGCTATGCCCATATTGAATTTTATGCAATTCAGTTAATAACTAACGGAGATATCAAAGCGATCGGACATTTCTAAACAAAGTTATTGCTCACACGGACAGATAGAGGGACAGACAGACAAAAGAACAGACGGACAGACCAACAGACAGACGACAGACAGAAATACAAAATTATAAACGATCTCTAGGAAACGTGGGTTTCTTCTTTAATATTGTGATCTGTAACCACAGCATCTAGAATAGAGCTAACGGCTTTAATTCGGATATGTTCTTACAACCCCTAAAAGGAAGAGCGAATATATTCTGACTAAACTCATTGATTAACTTTTTCACCTCATAGGACCGTGATAAGGGCTTTAAAAAACGGACACTATTAAAAATAGTACGCAGACCTCAAGAAGATAAAACAAGTAAAAAGGTTTTCGCCCTAAGTCGAGTAACTTCAGCGCATTTTCCATGAAGTGATCAGTACTTCTCAAAAGGTCATAGATATGTGCGCTATTTTTTCTCTACTAGAGGTATCTATGGTTAAACTTTCAATAAGAACGTTGACATTGCGCAGTTCGCGCATGCGCACATTTAATTTTTGTTTGTTTTTTACTAGAAGCGTCTATGGTTAAAATGTCAAAGAAACACCTTAGTAGCGTTAGTAAGGAAGTTGGCACTGCGCAGGATTCGGATAGATTACGCATGCGCACATCTAATGTTTACAATATGAGATATGTGTGCCTTTACCAGAAGCATCTGTGATGAAAATTTCAAAAAGATATTTTGATAAATAAGACACTTGATATTGCACATCCTGCGCATGCGCACATTCATCTGATGTTGACAATATACGATACGTTTGCTTTTACCAAAAGCATCTTTGGTTAAAATGTCAACAAAATATATTAATAAATAAGAAAGATGATATTACTCGTGCAGATTTTACTTGTCTCAGGTGCCAGAGCTATAAACTACCGAATTCAAAAAGAACGAACTAAATATATTAAAAACTGAATTAGTAGTAAAGGCTTCGGGTGTTGGAAAATGCCCTAAAAAAAGTAGAGCTTTCCTGCTTACCACCCTCTTGTTTTACGCAGTCTATGAAAGAAAATGGTATGTGCAAAAATCCTTTCCTAATGACACATGCTTATGTTCATGTAATCCTGTTGCAATAGTGCCTGGGAGGAAATTTTAGTGCAAAGTGAATATTAGTATCAATCAGTAAATTAATTTCCAAGGATACTTCTTGATAAATTTCCAATTTTTTAAGCCAATTCTGTATCAAGAAATCATAATGTATACCGTTAAATGATGTTTTTCAACAAATTCTTATCATAATGTAATTACTCTTAAAAGAGAGAATCGAGAGGAAGTAGTGCCAGAACTTTTTGAGCCAAACTTTATGCCAGGAGATCATAACGTTAAAGGATGTTTCTCAACAAATACCTATGGACACCTTCTTACGTTCATATAACCCTGTTAGGAGAGTTTGGTAAGAAATTTTAGCTTGAAAATATTTTAATTACAAATGCAGTTGCGCCCCAAATCCTCTTGCAATTGCATCAACAAAGTATTTCGGTGTCTAAAAATCAAATTTAAAAAAATCAAAAAAATTCTAATTAAAAGTGTAAATTAAAAATCTAAGACTTAAAGTTTAAAATGTAAACAATTTTTTGAATTACAAGCGCAGGTTTGCTCTAATTTTTTTTCAATTGCAACAACAAATGTTTTGTCCAATAGAACCTCTCCTATTACACGTGTAAGTTTGCCCTTAAGTTCGTTCTAGTTGCAACATCAAAAGGGTTTTTTGTGTCTGTGGTCGCTTTAGACTTTTTCCATTATAGGAAATTTTATACGTGTACCGTTCCATAATGAAAGACAACGGAACCAACATGCGAGAAAATGAAGCGCGTTAAGATAAGAAACGAGTGTAAAATCAGATAAGAGGCGAAACGTTACAGTGTTGTCGGTTCTAAAAACCGTCCTTACAGAGTATGAGAGAAGCACTTTCTGCCATACCCCTGTATTAGTCTGGGAGATATATTTATTTTGGCACTTCGGTCGGTCGGTCGGCTGCAAAGGTTTTTTCAGTGTAACTCTTAAAGGAATTATCGTAGAATGCTCGGATTTGAAGCATTAGCTTTGTATCACAATTCTTCTGCATGCAGATTATATTTATAAAATGAGTTTGCTAATAATATCTCGCGACTCATCGACTACTTTCCAACTTGTTTTCTGTGTTTTTGCTCCAAACTTGCATAATTAGCCACGCTGGTCAGTAATTAAATTGTATAAAGTGTTTACGGCACTCAGGGATGTAATCTGAGCTCTTTCAATGCGGGCTGCCTATCTCTACGGGCTCTGATAAGCACCTACCTCATTTACGGTTCATATTGAGGTACATGGAGCTCAGTGGTAGAGCGTTGGGCTACATAGCCGGAGATCGAGGTAAAAGGTAAGAATTTCTCATCTGTGACAGAGGAATTGAGGAAAAATGGAAATTGTCGTTTTAAACAGTTTCGCCATCTTTTGTTCGTCATGGAAACCTAGATGTCTACAGTAAAAATATTGTAATGTATAAAAACCAATATTGCAAATAAGTAATATTTAATATAAATATAACAAGTGGTACATCAAAATTTAGGAAATTTTACATACTCTTTTCAAAAACTCCAAAATTTATAGGATGGTCCATAAGTATATGGTGGGTAAAAAAGCAAACACCCTGTGTATGCAAGCTAGCATCAAATGAACGACTAAGAAGTCGCCAGCAAGCTAGAAAATGGATTTTGTGTGGATATCGGGGGTGGGAGTAGAGTCAGGGGTCACTCCAAGGTAAATTCCCCTCCCCGTCAAATAGTCAAATATTTTAAACGCGTTGTCACAACAATAGAGCTTAATAGAGTCGCCAAAATAGCTCAGTCGTCAACAATCAACATTTATATATATGCCCCCTCCCCTTAATGGAGGTTCCAAAGGCAAATCAGCGTGACGTCACGCCAGAACTTTTAGAGAAAGAGCCAAAGAGCACACCTATGTGCCAATTTTCATAGCTTTACTCAAAAGCCATTTTAGGACCTAAGCACCCAGAGTATACAGGGTGGTGACTTGCGTAACGCATCATAGGGATTTCAATGTAAAATTCATAACAATTTTACATTGAAATCCCTATGATGCGTTACGCAAGTCACCACCCTGTATGTATGTATAAAAAATATAGTCGAAACTTACGATTTTCGGAAACCAGACTTTAGATCCGGCTCATATTCAATAGCACTAATCCTTGAACTCATAGAAATCGATTGGCGAAGGTTTGACATCGTTTGACATCGCTCTCTTACATAACAATAAAAACTCTAAAATCTCTGCTCATAAACTGAATGCAATTTGTCCCACATTTCCTTGCTAGTTGTAGATATATTTATCAATTGTCTTAATAGTTGATTAGCTCACGACAATAATGTCCTGAGCTATAAATTCAGGTTTCGTGAAGGCTTCCTTCCCCTTATCATACGATCCGCTAACCTTGGGCGTTGCATCTGTAGTCAGTGCAGTAGATTGCGTTGCCTTATCTTTCACTATGTCCATACAACCACTCAACTGAATGTTGACAGTCAACCCAATTAAAATGCCCCTTCAGTGCATCTATCAAGACTCACAATACTTCCACGAATTCTCCTACTAAAACCAAGCACAAAAAAACCACCTCCGATACGATCTTTCACAACGAAGTTCCAACAAAAGCAAACTTGCACAATACTGGGCCCATAACCTGAGGAGATATGTGGTTAAATAAGGAAGTCTAGCACGAATTGAATGATCAACAATTGTAATTAGTGATAAAAAGAAATGTAATTTAACATGGCAAAACGTAAAATGACATTTTTCAATATCTGTTTATTTACTCTCATAGCAACACATTAACATTAGAAATCATTAAGGACCGAATATTTCATTTTTCCATACAACAAAATTCACTCTCAACGAGCAGACGATACAATAGGTCCGATTGTATTGTACAAGACCAAAATTCCTCAATTGAGGAGGGGAGGAGAGAATCAACTGTTAATTGGAGATAAGTTCGACGCATCAATAAATGCATGTTATTTGAATTTTTGCGTTGTGTAAAAATAGGAGTGGATCGTTTTGGGGATTTTGTAAAATAAATTGATGCTTAAAGTCACTTTAATATTCCTGAAGAAGTTGACCCACGGGAGCTTATTTTGTGATCAGATTTGTATAATTTTTATGAGATTTTGGCGATGTTTTTTTTTCATTAATTGTGAAGTACCATTCTTTTGTGTGGGTTAAATTTTCTTTAACATCCAGAGACGTGTAAATTTGTTTTTGAACAGGGAGATGTACCAGGTGTTGGAGTAATCTAGATAATTTCTTCGATTTGGAACGTGATCACGAGATAGGGCTTGAAATTTTAAGTTATATTCATTGAGTGATCTACATCAATATCTTAAATCACGAAAAATATAAAGAACGTAGAACGATTTTATTTTCTTTAATATATTCAAGCATTCCAATTTACATGAGTATTTGAGTGTTATCAAACCAGAGCATCAGGTTTTAATTTTCAAATTATAAGTGGAAATTAAGAACCTTCCTTCAAGGTTCGAGTCATTAAAAGTTTATTTATCACTGAGCTCCCCGTGGTATTAATTATTTAATTACAAATAATTAAGTGTTTCACTAAAATTTCTACCAGTGCCGTATAGATTAAAATTAATTTTCTACAAGTGGAGTTTCCAACCATTATGTTGCATGTCCAATATTCAAATTCGAAAAAAGCAAACATGTCTAAGATTCAAATAATGCAGGTTTGTCCTGAATTGCTTGCAGTTTGCAGCAACGAAGGTTTTCGATATCTAAGATTCACATTCCAGAAAATCAAAAAATCTAAAGGGCAGATTTATCAACGATACCCCACATGACTAAAATTTAGATTTTAGAGAGTAAACAATCTTTCAATTACAAGGGAAGATTTTTGCAGTTTGCAACAACAGATTGTGTGCTGATTTTGGACCTCCAGTTCAGTCGGAAGATGTATCCGTTATGGTCCATCTGTCGCCCAATTTAATTTTGAATTACCACACGAGAAAACATTATTTAGATTTAAACCACGTGCACAACTGAACCTTCAAATTAAAAAGAAAGCATTTCAATGTACCTTATTAATTATTTATTAATTGTCTACAATAAACAATAATTATTTCATTGACGACCAAACAATTTGCATATTTACAAACGGGACATTTTAAGGTTACACGATTAGTTACGATTTCGCGAGGGGCCTAAGAATCATCGGTACAATCACAAATAGAATAAAATTAGTTCTGATGACCTTCCCATGACTGAATTAAGCTAATTGGACCATAGTCGGCATATTATTCTGTTAGAAAAGGCACCAGCTCTCGATTATACCTGATTTACAGTCGGTCACACCGCGCGTTTTCCCAACTACGCAAATTTCCGTAATTATTGTTATTATAGGGTATAAGGTTTTCCATTAAGGACGACCGGTATTCGCGAACCTTTTAATATCTGCTTCCTTATTGACGCTTCAGTTGCGAAATTGCGGTATGGATGCCGTGAGAGTGTTGGTGACTTTGATGCTTGCGATCCAAGTGCAGGGGTTGAGGGTGAATCAGATCGTGAACGTTTCGGTGGAGGATGTTTTGAGCCGAATTCCGCAACAAGACGTTCTCGGTCCGCTTATAAGTGGGATCAACAGTTTTATGACGAGCACTCATGATAGGGTGATAGGGGGTGGCCCCTATGGTGACGAGTGCAAAGTAACATTAATGAAATTTGGTAAGAATATACTGATACGCTTGTTAAACTCGCAGCGATTAGCTGTGACGATTCAACCAATAAAAAAGGCAATTTTCTGAACGCAAAGTCTTTTACGTCTAACGAGATTAGAAATTGTTTCAATAGGAAACTTGTGAGGTGGAGAACTCTTCCACTGGATGACTTCTGTTCATAACAGCAAAAAGATATTGCGCTTAAATGAAAAACAAATCGTGAATTCCTACATATAATTTTGTTATAATAATTGTATGCAAATTGATTGTTGCAACACACATAATCCCTTATCCTTGATCTCTGATACATTTTAATTTTCCTCTTCCGTGTTTTGCTCCAATACCCTTTACTCCTCTGCTTCTCTACTTGTTCTACCCATTCTGTTCGCGATCTCCCTATCCTGTTTTTTCCTGGTACTCGTCCCTCAAATATTACTTTGCCTAATCTTTCATCATTCATGCTGGTTTGGTCCGCTCAGTTGTCTTTCTTCTATAACCTCTTCCATTGGTTGGATGTTTAATTCCTCCGCTACTACTGTATTTCTTAATCTATCTCTCTATCTATCGTTTTATATGGGGAACGTTCAAGAAAGACAATAAAGTTACTTGGTTTTAAGGGTCTAAAGACCCTCTGAAACCCCAACGTCGAAGTGTTGAGCCCATCACTACAAAACCACCACCTAAGTGGGGTAAAATCTCTTTATTGAAATTTTTTTAAGTCTAAAACGAAGCATTTTAAGAAAAAATGTCAAGAGAGAAAAATTGTAGAGAAGAAAATTTCCTACCAATCAGTATACATCAAATTTTCTAGAGTGGCGCAGATGAAATTTTCAGCAACCCATTGAAGTACTTATGCCCGTTTGCACCGACACATTTTAAGCGTAGCTGAAAATCCATGGCAACCATTGTCTCAATAATCGTTGCCATGGATTTTAAGCTACGCTTAAGCCAAGCTCCACTTAAATGTCACTATTTATATGTTATATGTCCGTCATGCATTTTGTTCTCCTTTAGATTTTATATTTTTCTGCAATTAAACAAATTACACGATACTTGTTCTAAATATGAGATTTATTCTCTTTCAAAATTATATTAACTTCAAACTAAAAACAGCCACCTCCTTTCTTTCCCAAATGGCTGGCTGGAATCGGCGACATCTGGGCGCCATCCCCGAGCGTGTTATACTAACGTGGTGATTTTGCAGTTTTTTCCCATCTTTGACAGTTTTCATAATAATAATAAGCGTACAAGTGAACAAAAAACAAGGTTCATTGCCAAAGAAATGCTTTAAAGTGTTTTTTGAAACAGTTTGAACTTGAGAGAATTCGGAACGTTAATATTGATAAGTGGTGCAGAATTTCTAAATGCGCCATGAAACTGGCTTTTATGGTGTTTTGGTATATTAAGAAAGAGTGGGTTACCGAGATTTCGGCGGGACCTGGGCGCCATCCCCGAGTGTGTTATACTAACGTGGTGATTTTTCAGTTTTTTCCTATCTTCTTCTATAGTTTGAAACCGATTGTTTTCAAATTGGTGTCGTCGGAAAGATTTTGTAAACGCGCCCAACTCCTACATGACAGAATGTTGTTTTTTTTCGTAGAGACTAAACCTCCTTTTGCAAGTCACGCGTCTTCGAAGGGTAGTGGACTTCGACCACTCAAAAGTTGTCTTACCCTGTGAATGTTGTCACGCGGTTTAAAGTTTCCTAAAGCCCAAATCGCGGTCTCTCTTTTTTGTGTCGGACTCAACGCATCGGTTTCAGAAGATATTCAATACCTTAAAACAAAGTATCATGCCAAATTTCAGCTTGTCTTTAATTTATTGAACGTCATCCTGTATATTGGTCCCTTTGCTAATATCCATTAGCTCAAATTTCCGCATCCGTATATTAATAATTTGGGCAGCATAGGGAAATTTCCACATGCACCGCTTCATCGCGAACGTGAACGAAAGTATTTCTGGCGATAACAATTAACAAGGATTGCTAGTTTTCAGGGCACACCAATCGAGGTAATTTGCGTTCAGAAATAAATCCCTTTTCTGTATTTCTCTACCGGGCGAAATTTAAATAGAGAGAACTGAGATTCTAAGCAAATTTTCGCAAGCGATCACTATTTGTGCGTGAGATTTTCAGTCGTGGAAAATGCTAAACTTCGCGAAACATCGCCTACCATTTTAAGTGCGTTGAAATTGAACTCTTAGCGAAGTTATAAACCATTTTGTGTACGAGATTTTATTCGCGTATATGTGGAGATGGAAATTCAAGAACGTTCAGTGAAATATATCAGAGTAGTAGTAAATAATTAACAGTTTAACTTTGTGTAAAAATATGTTCAGTAGTCGAGAGATCGAATAACTTGTGAAGGAGATTTTAAGCAAATTCGGGCTTGCGACAAATTGCCAGTTATCTGCAACCCGAATCGTAATAAAGCCGTTTATTTGCGAATGATAAAATTTACGCGAAGGAACATTTTCGAGTCCGAAAACTACTTTCAAAACCAAACCGCTAGTTAATAAGTAAATAAACTGATAAACTCATCGTGATAAACAAAGAATCAAACCAATATTTTATAATCCGGAACGTGTAAAGAAAAATAGAATTTGATTACCTTTGATTTTATTAATATATTAAATCAACTAGTCACATACGTGAAATCAGATTTTAAGAGGGGATAAGCTGCCAAACTTCCGCAAGGTAAGGGGTATACAAAATATTTTTATTACTGAGCTAGCCGCGTGTAAATTAAAAATTACTTGCCATAGTAAAATTTTTGCCAGTGCCGTAGAGTTCAAATTTTATTCTATGCAAGTGGGATCTTGTAAATATAACTTAGCCGTTGCATCCCTAATCGTTTATATATTTTCTAAGGTCTTCATCGAGTTTATTTTCTAAGAATTTGTTCCATTTTTGATTCTTTTCTGTCACCTTCCTTTGTATTTCCGATGACCACGACTTGCTTTTCATTCGCTTGAGGTTGTTAACCTTTGATATGCCACAGATTTCTTTGGCTGCTGTTAGGATATTAACTTTAAAATATCTTCACTCATCTTCTATTCCCCTTCGTTATTTTTCTTCAATTGTTAGGTTAGTTCTTACTTTTTCCTGAAATGTTCCCTCTTCTTTTAGCTTGTGACATTTGATTTTTTCTTTCATTACTTCTTTCCCATAGATTTGATGGGGTTTCACTGCTTGAGATATAGTTATCATCTACGCCAAGTTATTGTCACTACCTATTCCCGAATGTTTCACATGTTTAATTATCTTCCAGCTCTTTCTGTATACTATGAAGTACATCACGCAGAAATCTCTGAATATCTACGAAATTTTTAAATAATACAAACTAATCGCACATATATTGGGTGAGCCCTTTTCGATTTTAAAAAATGTTTCCAAAATTCCCATCGCTAGATTTCGTATTTGATTATTTGATAGTGTGTTAATTCCGACTGTAATTTTTTGCAGATGATGAATATGATCAGTTTCACAAAATTTTTTTTGAAATTTTGAAATTTCAAAGTTTCTAAAATTAAAAAAAATTTCGTCACTCAATTAATGGGTATTTTTTATTATTAAAATATCCATCGCCGTGATGGTGGCACCCCCCTCTCCCTCCACAATATTGCTATGCGAAGTGTTACTAATATAGAACGTCGTATACTAGAAATCTCATTCCGGGTAATAACCCATCATGAGAGGCGACTTCGTCATCCAGAAATGACTTCTACAGTTGGTCGTGTACCGAAGCTGTCAAGTTTTTCGAAAAAACCGAGGGTTGCCAACCATTTTTTAGAGAAAATAATGCTCAAACTGACGCAGGTTCGAAAGCTGCGGCGCTCGATGGAAAATGCTGCTTTTTTAGTGCTGTTAGTAATATACAAGAACGGTAAATGCCTAATAGATTAGCGTGAGTGGCGTTTTTCAGTTCTACATTGGCACAGGAATGATTTTCATAACCTTCCTCTGGCCTCACCATCGAGATATAATAATTAGATTGACTATATACAGAAAAAATCCCTAAACAAATGTCACGTCGCATTACAGAGCCCTAAAAATCTGAGGAAGCTTAAAGTATCCGAATAATCGGAATTTGACGAAAATGGGTTAGCTTAAAATTAAAAGATGTCTAAATACAGAAAGGACCTAAGGCGAATATTGCAATAAAAAAATTTTTTTTGGCGATTCTGAAGATGCCCATGAACCAGGAATCTGAAGTATTTGAAAAGAAGAAGGCAGTTACGATTCAAGCTGCCAGATTAAAGCACCAGATTCCTGTTTCATCGTTAAACCCTGAAGCTTCAAAGAAAGATTCAGAGCTCAAGCTCCAAAATCCGACATTTAAAGTTTGAGCTTTAAGATTCACATTTGATTTAAGTTACAAAATTGAATCTTCAAGTATTAAACTTCAAGGTTTGATCACTGGGTTCGAGTTACAAGACTCGTGCTTCATGATTCAAACTTATATAGAAGTTATAAGCTTCAAAATTCGTCTTTGAAGACCTAAATTCCAGGACCTAAGGTAAAAACCCAGTCTTCAAGGTTCGAGACCTGAATTAAACTTTAAGGTTCATGTTTAAATTCTTCAAATACATCACATTTTATGGATTCTTTGTATTTTTCCGTTTTTTTAATTCTTCCGATTCTTTAAATTCTTGTCATTCTTTCAGGGTCCTTAGGATACTTTGGATTTTTCAAATTTAGTTCCAAATTACTCGTTGTATTCGAATCTTCAGATGCTTCCGTTTCATCGGAGTATAATAACTACATTCTATACTTACAAGTTTTAATGGCTGGTGCAACGAAAGACTCACCGCTCCTCCTCCCCAACCTATGTCAATCTCAAACTAAGCCTTGAATTTCAACCACTAATTTGTTTTCAGTGCAAGATAAAATTAAATTGCAATTTTGATGGGCGCTCTCCTATATATTGCTAATAGTTGACAGTGGTCCCCTAACTATTATCACTTAGATGATCACAAGACTTTCTTTGCTATTTAAATTATAAAAACGTTATCACATTTATTTGTTTATCGTATGGGTGGCACTCCCTAGGTACAGATGTTTTCAGATCTGCGAGAACTAACGACAGTCGTGGTATGACTGCCGGGACCGCCAGTTTTACATGGCCTCCGAAGCACGGCAGTCAGGAGATGTTCTGTACCACTAAGAACTGGCAGGTTGTGGGATTCGAACTCACAACATTTGAGGTTAGAGTCCGAGTCTGAAACCGCTACGCCAAACTGACTAAATATAATAGTTATAATTTGTAATGTAATTCTCCATTTTTGGGGTTCGTTGAGATTTGCTTTAATATATAAAAAAAGGAACCACAATTGTTTATTGTTTCTAAAGCGATCGATTTCGGGTTTAACCACCCATCATCAGGCTATGCTAAAAAATATATCACATGAATTTGAAGTTGAACACAGAATTAAAATTATTACCGTCAATTTGAATTATATAAATGCAGCGACATTGAATTGAATAAAATTGGATAAAAAGTATTAAAATTACATTAACGAAGAAACAATAAACAATTGTGGTTCCTTTTTTATATATTAAAGCAAATAATAGTTATAACTTATAAGATCATTGATTTGGACACTGTATAAGGTGCTTACAAGAGAATATCATGACCATAGCTTAGTGAAATTTTCTCGCTGGCACCATGGAAACTTCAATAGTAGTTCAATAGTGATGTTCTTGCATTTAAAAGAATGTTTCTTATCATTAATTCAGAAACCATTTGGTCGATTTAAAAAATGATTCAATAATTAATTATAAACAAAGTTCGAAAAAATTACCTTTAACCGCCGTGTTCTTATACAATCTCGTGGTGGAAAAGTCTACAAGTTTACCTTACTGGCCCTTAATTGAACGGAAATCACATGTAGTCCCTTAATTTTCCTAGAAGATCATGAGAATCGCAATATTCAGAAGAAAATCATAGGATTTCCCCACTTTTTGATAGTTTCCATTCCAGAAACATTCTTCCCTTCTGAATAAGTTCCCACAGTCCTTGAAATGGTCCGAATATTCATGAACAATGGAAATGACAGCGGGAAACAAATTTTCTAAACATTCATAGAGAATTTCATCCAAAATTTGGGTACCCTGTTTAAACGGCAGCTATGAAATGAGTCACATATTCAATCACACTATACTAACAGAGGTTTATTGTTAAAAAAAAACGGGTTTTCCTCAACTAAATATGGAATCCTGGTCTTAAGAGCAAAATTTGGGAAGTTTGGCAATCTATTCATAGACATCACAGTGAATGCGAACATCAAATATTTGTTACACAAATTCGAGAATAGAGAACGTGATATAAAAAATTATTTATTCATGCAACGGGATTTCCCTTCAATTCACTATATTCCGGATCAATTTTTAATAAAAAAAAAATGTTAACACGCAACGAACATTTTTAGGTGGAGACGAATTAACATACAGCATGCGACCTCGCGGTTACTGCTCGTTCTGCTGCAAATTGGGCAAGCTCTCACGCCACATCCGCCTGTACTTCTTTAGCAAATCGACAGGAAATCGCACGATCGAAATTAACATGTCGAAAAATAAGGGCTCGCTGCGTTCCGCCGGCGTCAAAAGCGACGTACCGACCGTGTTTTTCATACACGGTTTTCTCGAGTACGGCCTAGGAATGTCGGCACGTTTTATACGTGATGGTATGCGAGACTTGGCCGTTATCTTAAGCTCAAGTGTAATTTGCAGCGTTTTTAAGCAGGGAAGAGGATTACAACATCATTTCGGTGGATTGGGGCGTGTTCACCCCTCTCCCTTGGTATTACCACGCGGCCTCACACACGAAGCTGTTGGGAAAAGTTCTGGCGAAATTCATTGATTTTTATCACAGTACGGGCGAGCTCTCCATCGGGAGGATACATGTAATTGGGTTCAGCTTGGGCGCGCACGTAGCCGGCGTCATCGGTAATCAGCTCGGTCAAGGACGGCTGCCTAGGATAACCGGGTTAGACCCGGCTTTCACATTGTTTCCCGTCGACGAGGGTGAGTACCATTTCGCTTCGAAAATTGCGCAAGCGCCGATTTTCAGATCCGGCGAATCGGCTAACGAAAGACGACGCGGAATTTGTCGATGTCATCCACACGGACGCCGGTTCGTTCGGTTATCCCGTATCTATTGGTCACGTCGATTTTTATCCGAACGGTGGCAGTGGCGTGCAGCCGGGATGCGAAATCTCCAGTCTGGCCGAGAAGAAGATCATAGAACAAATAAGTACTGCTGTGTTATGGTAAGGTGCGAGCTCTGGCTGATTACTTCCATTTTGTAGTTTACTGCGGACATATACGAGCGTGGAAATATTACGGCGAATCTGTACGAAACCCACGAGCCTTTCCCGCGACCAAGACCAAAATAATCCAAAACGGCGATGGCAAGTTTAAGTTTGTTACGGATGCGTACATGGGATTTGGTGTCAACAGGTACGTGCAGCTTTGCTCTTCCGATTAAAGATTTTTGCTTCAATTCAGCTCGGCAAGAGGAGATTTCGGTTTAATTACCAATGCATTTCCACCGTTTGGTATGACGGACAAAGAGCAAGAGACTGAAATTAACACATTGTAACGTACAGTGTTAGCTAGTTAATTTAAATAATTCATTAAAAAGACGGTTAATTGGAAATATCATTTCGTTATTACTCACTTACTGTACTTCATTAACACAATCACATATGAGTTAACTATTAGCCAATTAGACAATTAATTAAGATCATTGATCATTACGTGGTATCAAACATTGCGAGTGATAAAAATGAAAAGAAGCAAGTGGAACAAACGTCTTAGTCAAAGAATAAATAAAAAATCCGATATAACTGAATACCGAACGATGTACTTTAAGGGGTTGATTCTATCCCACCAAATCAGCATCAGCAAATTTTTGAATCGGAATTTGTTTTACTTTTATTCGAGGTACCTAGATAAAAAATTTCATTTACAAATAAAAAAATTGGGATTGGGAATCTGCATAGTTGCCTGAGGTTTAAGGAATATTTACTAACACAGAAAACCGGGCATTCATATGTTCTTTGTAACAAGAGTTATAAAAGAACCTTTTTTTTGGTGGTTTGGGCAGTTTTTGGGCTGTAATTTTTTGGCCCGTTAGTCTACGTAGCCAAAAACAATAGCGACCTTTGTTATATCCTGAAGAACAGGTGTATTAATTTTCAAAGCGGTTAGACGTTTCTACACAAAGTTATCCTGCTCACGGACGGACGAACAGACAGACGAGCAGACAGAAGGACAGACAGCAATATCCTATCTTTTCATATATCCAATCGCTGTTTACTGTTCCGTTTCCGAGATGCCGCCCATATAGTCATTAAATATTTGTTGAAGAAAGTGACATTCAATTGTGATTTAAAAGAAATTGCACAAAACATAAAAACTAAAAATTTATTTTTAAAATTTTAAAAAAGTACATACTCTAAAAACAACACCCAACTACAGTTTTACCCTTCTGCAAATTCGTCAATAAGGGACGTGTAGTCTAGAGAGGCAGCTCGTGATGATTCAATAGAAATTAATGCCAGATTTCTAAATTTTGATTGGCTTAAAGAATTTCTTCGGTAATTTTTCAATAATTTAAGTTTAGAAGAATTGCTCTCGCTACTAGCGGCAAACAGAGGAATTGTTAAGTAAATTCTAGTAGCTACAACAGTATTTGGCTAATAAACCAATTAAGTTGTTTTGACTCAAATAATCCAAAGATTTCATGGAAAAGGGTAACATACTAGATGTACAGGGTGAAAATTTTGTCTGGAGCATTGAATATTATCTTCAAAACAACGTTTTTTTTTAAAGAAACCATTTATGGTGTCCAAAATTATAAAAAGTTTGCTACCAATCTACTTCTGCATAGTCAAGGGGGGTTATTATTTTTTTTTAATGGCAACCACTAGTTTCCATTACATATTCTTAAAAAGTAAGTACACCTTTTTGGATATAGTAGCATAAAAAATTGATTATTTTACATAATCAATTGAAGAGAAAAATCCAAATTAAGGAAAATAATTGTGTTAAAATTAATTTAATAATTTTACTAGTTTGCATTGAAAAATTATTTTGTTAGTTATGAGAGAGAGAGAGCGGTAGTCAAATTAATGAAGTATTTTCTTTAGTTTGAGATTTTCTCCTAAATTTTATTATGTAGTACAATAAATTCTTTGTGCTGCTATATTAAAAAAGTGTACTCTTTAAGAATATGTGATGAAAACTAGTGGTTAGTGTTTAAAACAAATATAAATTATGCACAACTCATGTACAGATAAAGCGCATTTTTTTAAAACCGAAATACCTTTTGTTTTGACATCACCAATGGATATATTCCTTGCAGACGTCTCAATCGCTCTTTGTGAGTAGTACCCTCTTCCGACAATCCGTTCTTGAGGTATAAGGGAATATACCCGATCACGATAAGGAGACGAGGAGGAGGGCTATGGCCCGTAGAAATTAATTCTTTTCGTTGAGACCTTTCATTAGAGTAACATGAAGGATAAAACTGGCCCCCCCCTTCCCCCCCAACCACCCCGTATGCAAAATCTGAGACCAATTGGTTGTCGTATGTAAAAGTTATGCACGTTTTATTTTCAAAAACAGCATCTCAGGAAATAATTCGTGGGGGCCCCCCTTTTAGAGAGCGAAATTTGATGGCCGTCTGGTACACGTTCAAGGTATAGGCTACCTACTGCAAAAAATTCCAGGACTCTAGGACCATTCCCCTAGAAGGCCTAGAAGTAGTTCGAAACGGCAGAAGTGGGTCCGGACGGACAAAACGCAAACAATAGTACATTTTTTTCCGGGTTGATCTGAGACCATTTTTTTTTCGAGCCTCAAAAAAGGGCAGTGTATAACCTTCCTTTTTTACCAAAATCGACTACACCAAAATTTCCCGGGAAAACACTTTTTCTTATTAATTTTGGTGCTTAGAATCCAAAACAATTCGTACTTTTTCCATTAGACTTCTCAATCAAAAGTTATGGACTAGAAACCAATTTCGAAAGAAAATTCAAAGGGCTGTAACTTTTGATCTAGTAGCCCAATCTCTGCCACATTCTATAAGAAAATTTTTTTCCGGGCGATCTGAGACATTTTTTTTTCGGGCCTCAAAAAAAGGCAGTGTACAACCTTCCTTTTTTACCAAAAATCGACTACAAAATTTCTTGGGAAAACACTTTTTCTTATTAATTTTGGTGCGTAGAATCCAAAACAATTCGTACTTTTTCGATCAGACTTCTCAATCAAAAGTTATGGACTAGAACCCAATTTCGAAAGAAAATTCAAAGGGCTGTAACTTTTGATCTAGTAGCCCAATCGTGGAACTGTTTGAAATTATGGATTCTACAGGCCACATTCTATAAGAAAATTTTTTTCCCGGTCGATCTGAGACAATTTTTTTGGGCCTCAAAAAAGGGCAGTGTATAACCTTCCTTTTTTACCAAAAATTGACTACACCAAAATTTCTCGGGAAAACACTTTTTCTTATTAATTTTGGTGCGTAGAATCCAAAACAATTCGTACTTTTTCGATTAGACCTCTCAATTAAAACTTATGGACAAAAAACAAATTTCGAAAAAAAATTCAAAGGGCTGTAACTTTTGATCTAGTAGCCCAATCTTCAAACTATTTAAAATTATGGATTCTACGGGCTAAATTCTATAAGAAAATGTTTTTTCCCGGTCGAACTCAGACAATTTTTTTTCCGGCCTCAAAAAAAGGCAGTAGTTTTAAGTTATTCAAATATTTGAGAACAATTTAGAAATGTTTAGGGAAAGTTTCCATCGTCACAAAATCAAATATAAAAATCCGATACAACTGAATACCGAACGATCCTGGAGTGAAACTTTTTGACTCGATAGTCTACGTAACTTAAAAACAATAGGGACCTTTCTTATATCCTTAAGACCATGTGTACCAATTTCGTAATTTTTGCGTAATTGTCAATCTTATAGTCTCCTTCAAAGGACTAAGGAAATTACACAAACGGGTTTTGCGGTCAAGTCACCCATTAACGCCGGCCGTGTAGACTCTTGTGATGAGAAATTTATTGAAGTGATGTTGCTTGTCGGTGAAGAACAATATATCAGTATTACCTTGTTTGATTTCATTCGTTACTTCACTTGCATCTTCCCAGTTTTATACAGCGAGAGTATCGTTTTTCCATCTCAATCTCCGAAAAAATTAACCGCTATATGGCTCTTTTACTTTTATATCCCTGAGCTAGCTCCCCGTTTATGCGGTGGGGTTTTGAAAAACTCAATATATATATTTATGGTAATATCGAACGTAAGGTTTTATCTGACCAAATTGTTTGTAAAGGCGTTATCGAACAAATTAATTGGATTTGTTTACTAACAACGCCACGTGCAAGATAATGAATGCATGTGTTTGGAGTTCGGACGATGGCGGTAGCTTGACCTTTAAGTACGAAGCACGGGGAAATAAACGATGCGGATTTATCTTGTAAATTGGTTGTTTGTGTTCATAAAGGCATTGTGAGCCTTAAAGCGAGCCTAAATAAAAATTATAACATTTGATCATTCTTCTTCTTGCCTCGTGAATGGGGCGATCACGGAGGTGGTAAATAATGGTAACCACATTTAGTTACGATATCTGATGCCGGGACTGTTCTCGAATTTCAACTTTAGGCTGGCATATCCCGCACGAGGGCTCATGTTACCCGTCTGAGGGGTCAGACTCTGCTAACACACTTTGATTTGACCAGCAAGCCCATGGAACTTTTCTTTCAGTTCTGACAAATGATTTTATTGCCTCAAAGATGAGTCACACCCTTTCCCAGAATTTTTCTTACTTGCCTACCTGATCCATTGTACCATATACTTGTTTTCAAACTTGATTGTAACCAAGTTTGTGTATATGCCTGTGTTTTTTTCTATAACAAATCGCGGCAAAAAAAGGGAGCAGTGAAACAGAAAGAATTCTGAAAATAATAACGTAAAAAATGCTCAAAGAAAGTAACAAGGGATTAGATGAGATGAGGGTTGAGAATTAGAAATTTAATGGTATGAGGGTCGAGTTAAATCTGAAACGAAGAGAAATGAGAGTAGACAATAATAAACAATTTAGTAAAATGGAATTGATGATGAAATTGTTTAACGATGAAATAAGGTTAGTTTTAAAGTGGATGGATGGAATATACAGAAGCTGAAAGTTATAGCGTGAAAACAAACTAAAAATAAAATGAAAATAAATGCACATAAATTTGGTTTGTAAATTTAGTTTTTGTGACCTCATTGTTAATTACGAATAGTGGGATAATGCAGAAATATATGCAATAACAAACAGATACGATTCTATCGGAGCACGTGACTCCCAAAAATCCAAACAATATAAAAGCACACCTTGCGAACCTATCGTTTTTCGCATAAATGTTTAAGCTCCCTTCAAATCAATCACAACACAGCCGGTTATTTATTGATTCCGAACTCCCACGGCGCTATTTACTTCCATTTCTCAAAGGAGAATGGAGATCTATCTACTTTTCACGACAAACATCGAGTGGCACATTAAACTTTCCGATTACACAGCTTGGTCCTTACATCATCACCCTAGAGAAGGACTTTTTCTTCTTTTTTGTAGGGTGGATTACATTCGCTCAAAGTGTAC